GGTGGGTGACTCCTGAGGAACAACACCCAAGGTTGACCTCTGGTCATGGCATGTACATACATATATAAACATAAATAAATACACATCTGCACACGCATAGATGTGGACACACACACCCACACCCATCCACCCACCCACACACACATATATACACACACACACACACACAAAACCTAAATTAATGATGTTACATTGAAGTTGTTTCTTTGGTTTCTCTGTGTAACAGCTCTGGCTATCCTGGAACTAGCTCTGGAAATAGACTGGCCTCGAACTCACAGAGATCCACCTGCCTCTGTCTCCCCAGTGCTGGGACTAAAGGCATGCAACACCATTACCCTGCTTACATTGTGGTTTTTAAAAATCTGCAAAAATTTTCCTCTTTCGCCTCATATGGATTTAATCTTTCTAGTAACTTTGTTTGAGAGACTAATTACAGAAACTTTTTTCTTCCCCTAATTTCTATTTTATCATTTCAATCTGTCCAGATATTCCTATATGGAGTTGGTTTTCTCATTTTTATTTTCATGTTTTTTTTTTTTTTAAAAAAATTTCAGAGCTGAACGTTGATGGCTCACACCTTTAATCCCAGTACTCGGGAGGCAGAGGCAGGCGGATCTCTGTGAGTTCAAGGCCAGCCTGGTCTACAGGGCGAGTTCTAGAACTACCTACCTCCAAAGCAATGCAGAGAAACCCTGGCTCAAAAACACAAAATAAATAAATATTTTTTTCTTCATTGTTGGAGGCTGAACCCACAGCCACACACATGCTGAGCAAGCTTCTTATCACGGAGCTCTGGCCACTCGGTTATTGTTTGAGGTTCTGTGGCTTCCATTTTCATCTAATCTGTAGACTGTGTGTCTTTTTTCTGTAATTACTTGAGCCCATTTTGCCACACTCTACTGAGTGGTTAACAGCTTTTGCTTTGCCCTTGATTCTATGCGGTTTAAGCCACAGGTCAGCTGACCATACTATTCAGCTTTACCTCTGATAACCAGAGCATCAGCTTCTTTCTGGGGCTTCGTGAACTGTCCCTTCTACTGATCAGTCAGTCATATAATGGACAGATGTTGAGACAGAGAGTGGCAGATTGTCAAGTCCTATACTAGGGCAAAAGAAGATTTCACAGTAGCACTCTGTCCCTTCAGAACCTGCAGCTTCTAACTATCACTCTGAAATCCCTCACCTCAAGTGCCTTCACAAAACCCCTCATTCCTTCCTGTCCAAGTCTGTTCCTAGCACTTGCAAACATGAACCTTCACTCAGGCAGGCTGGACACCTTGCACTACCTACGCCACAGAATCCACCCACAGATCTAACAGCTCCTGCCACTTTCTAGCTGTGTGAGTTTAGCCAAGATTTCCTTTAAAAAGTGAGTCATTTCCCTTAACTCTTCAAGTGTGGGACACAGTAGTACCTAACTCACAGAGCACTGCACAGACAAAATTAAAGTAGGTCAAGTACCTTAGAGAATCATTTGGTACACAGTGGGGACTTATTAAAACACAGTGAAGGCTGAGGAGACAACATCACCAGTGTAGTGCCTACCATGCAAGCATGAGGACTTGAGTTTGATCTGCAGAACTCACATGGAAAAATCAGGACTTGTTGGCAATATGTTTGTAACCTCCTACAGAGGAGACAGAGGCAGGCAGATCCCTGACCTCTTAGGGACAGATGAGTTCCAGGCCAGTGAGAGACCCTGTCTCAATAAATAAATAATAGATTAATAGGTATGTATGTATGTATGTATGTATGTATGTATGTATGTATATAGGTAGATAGATAGATAGATAGATAGATAGATGGATGGATGATAGCTAAAGTGAATGTTATCAACACAACCTAAGATTGTCCTATGGCCTCCACACACATGAATGTGAACACACAGAGAAATAAGTCAATAAACTTTCGAAAGATGCTCCAGTAAAAGTTCTTGGCAGACTTTGTTCACAGAGGACATAGAGAAGAGTTAGCCATGTGTTGGTGGCTTTAATGAACTTCTAGACTCATAGAGAGATATGTTACATACTTACACACAGCACCTGACTCACAGGCTGAGGAAAGATGGCCTACCCATGCTTCTGCCTCTCTCCCTGCTTCCTACAACAGAAAAATCTGGTCTTGAACTCAGTGGTGAGCAGCTCATTGATGGACATATTTTGCCAATGGTACAATCATTATGTTTTACAGATATGCAACCATGAATGGCTCTTTTCATTAAGGATCAAAGGGAAGGCAGCTACTACTGTGTTCAGACTCACCATCCCTGCTCCTGGCCAGCTGACAGCAGAAGGGAACAGAAGGATTCACTGAAGGTCTAACGCTAAAGCAACATTCCATTTCTTGTTGCTCTTCTCCCTTGAAGAATCCCCAGAATAGAGTAGTTATCCATAATCCAAAGTTTTATATTCTCCTGTTGTTTGCAACATCCAGTTCTGAGCTGGAAACCTACTCCTCAGAGTGACTGTGAAGTTTCTCTTGGGTGCTACTGTCCACCTGACATTGGCCTTCATAAAACCAAATTATACAATTGACAGTTCATTCTCTCCATGTATACAAATGGACACAGAGTCTGGCTTGTTCTTTGATGGAAGATGTCATTCTGTAAATATGTTTCTATTATTGGTTAATGAATAAAGCCCTGTTGGCCAATAGGAAAGCAAGATAGGAAAGACTAGGAGATAAGGAGGATTCTGGGAGAGGTAGTAGAGAGGAGTCAAGATGTAGGATGTGAGAGAAGAGGTCCAGACCCTTTTTCCAGTAAGATAAGGCCATGTAGAAACACTTAGATTGATAGAAGTGGGTTAATATTTAAGACAGAGCTAGCCAACAAGAAACACTAGTAACAGGCCAACAGCTTTATATCTAATACAGCATCTCTGTGTGTTATTTGTGACTGACGAGGCATTGGGACCAGGCTGGTGGGAAACTGCCAGTACAATTCTTTATTAGTTAAATGAGAATATAGGTCTTCACATGCCACCTTTAAGTCATTTGGGAGTATAGGCTGGTTGTGTACAGAATATTCACTATATGTTTTCAGAAAAATATGTGTAGGAATAGTTATCCTTTCCCAGAGTGATAGGTTCTGTTTTTGCTTGTTATTTCCCCCCACCATTTGCCCCATCTTCCTGGGCTCAGGACTGCCTGGCCTCCCTTACATCTAGGTCATTACTTACACTTGTAACTGCCAAAGGCTATGAGAATCAGTGATTTACACAAGCAGCCAAAAAGATAATTACTTATCCCAAACTTTTTTTCTTTCCCTCAATTTTATTTGTGTGCTTGTGTGTGTGTGTGGGGGGGCATATGCTACACTGTGCATGTGGAGGAGATCAGAGGACAACCTTAGGTGTCAATTCTCTACTTTCACCTTCAGATAGGGTCTCTCACTGTTTGCTGCTGCATATCAGCTGGCCCAGAAGCTTCCAATGACTTTACTGATGCATTTCCCATATTTCCATAGGAACACTGGGATTAGGAGCAGATGAGCTGCTGCACATAGCGTTACATGGGTTCTGATGCTCTGAACTCAGGGACCTCACATTTGTGTAGCAAGTGCTTTACCCCTGCACCATCTCCCCAGCACTCTTCCCTCAATCTTCTACTACACAGATGAGGACAAGGTCTTAAAGGATGGTAGAGCAAAAAGATAGAAGGAACATAGGTCCCTGAGTGACAACTTGGAACAGAGCTGCCTCACCAACACTGAACAGCCAGACAGACTCTAGGTCACTAAAGTGTGTGGGTGTGTGGGGGTGTTCAATAGTCTCTATCTAATAAATACATTTCCTCAATCCCTTCTCTCCTCCTTCCTTAATATAATAATTACATTTTAGAAGCAGATACAGTATGCCTTTTTTTTTTTTCCTGAAAATTACCCTTCCCAGACGTCTTTACCACATGACTAAGGAACTAAAATTGGCAGACAGAACTTCTTTAGGGGTAGAGTCCTCAGAAAGTAGGCAGTCAGCATTTTCTACTCATGTCTTTCTTGCCATCTGGAATGGGAAGATGGGAAGGTAAATGAGTAGGGTTCAAGCAGCTACCTGGGATCCTTAAGTTACAAGCTAAGAATTACTCCTGAGTAGAAGATCCAAGGCTAGGGTCCCTGAAGATCGGAGATTTTTCATGCCATTCTGGATTGTGTTTCTAGATTTCCTTGCATGAGAGGGAAAATTCTATCTTATCGAAGATATTAACATTTCAATGCTACATATAGCTGAACCTCATTCTAATTAAGACATACACCCACGAACATATATCGTCATTTCAACCTCCAGCTTGCTTCTTGGCTCCTCTTTGCAGAAGTAAAGGAAAATCACTCTCCCCAAAGCTGCAGAAGTAAGAGACTAGTTTCCAATCCTTCTGTCAGAATGGGTTTGCCTTTGGTACTCTTTGAAATAGCTCTTCAGGGAACTGGCTAAGAAACCCCAGTCCAGAGACCCAGATGGCTCACACTAGGAGACTACAAGTGTGGTAGCAGCAGATGTGGGCTGGACTGAGGAGAGAGCTGTGACCCAGCTTTGGTGCCGGTCAGTGAGAGCAACAGAAAAGATGAGGCACCAGTACCTGCAAATTTAGGTCAATACAGACCGACCAACTAGGAGGTAACTGGGCAACGGGTCTCTTTAAGTTGGGTTTTCTGCTTCTTGCCTGCTACTCTGGGCTCCGGTACCCCAGACCAGATGGCGCCTCCTCCGCGGCAGGGAGGATGGAGGAGGCCAAGCGCTGAGAACTGGGAGAGCTTAGGTTTAGCACCTCCTGTTCACAGCTTCCCAGGACTTGAGTCCGAGTCTCCCGGCCCTAGCCTCCCCACGTGTAAAAAGGGGAGTGGGCGCTGACAGCTCCTCCAGACTTCCCTCCTGCAGGTGGGGTCTGAGCACCGGGCTGCCCAGCCTAGCCTCAGCTCTGCACATCTGCCAGTACTGACATCCTTGAGGACCCTTCCTGCACTCCTTCGGTCCTCCAGGTCGCCCCTCACCCTCCGGTAGCCTCACCCTCCTCTGACAGGTAGCGCAGGTCGTAGAACTCGCCCGCGAAGGTGCCGTAGGAGGAGTCGTGGCGCGGCACTGCCTCGTCGGCACCCGCGTCCCCTCGCGCGCGTCCCCGGGGTCCCCGGCCTCCGGGGCCCGCGCCGTCGTCCGCGGGACTGGCATTGCAGGCAGCGATCCCCGCCAGCAGCAGGAGCAGGAGCAGCGGCGCCCAGGCCGGGTGCTGCCGGGGCTGCCCCGCCATCGCAGCGCAGAGATCCCGCAGCCAGGCCGCTCCGGCCGCAGCGGGGGCGCCGCGGGCGCGGGCCGGGACCGAGGCGCCGCCAGCACGCGCCGCGCAGCCGCGGAGAGCCCGCACCCGCCGCCTCCCTGCCTCGCTCTGCGCATCCTCCCTTCAGCCCCGCAGCCTGCCCCAGTCCTCTCATCATCACCCCCTCCTCGCCTGACGCTCCTTCCTAGCTTTGCTCCTCACGCCCTTCCTCCCATTCTCCCCACCGCCCAGTCCCCCTGCAGATTCGACCTCCTGGTCCCTAGGTTCTCAGTGTGGCCCGATAACCTTTAACATCAGCACCATCTAGGAGCTTGCTAGTATCTCTCCAAGCCCCACTCCAGACACACAAAGCGCGATTTGCTCTTTTACTCAAACCCCCAGCACCCAGTCTCCACACCTTGCTCCTGCAACTTTTCGTTCAAAGAAAACACTTACTAGACTTCGAGACCATAACGCAAGGAAGATAAAAATCACAAAATACCACTATACAGATAGCCAAACAAAAGTCAGAAAAGTGTAACTAAGGCCTTGGCAAAAGCCACAAGCATTGAAGTAAAACCTGAGCTTTTGAAGTTAGGCAACTGGTTTACCCTTTTTCCCCCCAGGAGCAAAGTGCGCAAACAAGTAAGTATGCTAAGTTTTCCACATCTTCACATCCATTCTCAACACTTACACTTGTGTTATTTAGCTGACCATTCATTTACTCAATACACACAGATCCCAGGCTTGTCTTCAGACGACCATTATTGGGACGGTGACAAATAAGTTGTTTTCGGCAAGAAATATGGACACTTGTCCCTTCCATGCTGTTACTTCAAAAACTGCAGGTGGACCGATTCTTCAAGTTCTCATATATGTATGCCAGGCACAGGCAGGTGGATCTCCGAGTTTGAGGCCAGCCTGGTCTACAGAGCTAGTTGCAGGATAGTTATGGCTATTACATAGAGAAACCCTGCCTCAAAAAAAAAAAAAAAAAAAAAAAAAAAAATTGTATAAAGCAAGGAAATTGCTACTGAGGCAGAAAAACATTTCCAATGTAGACCTGGAAATCAGACTGCCTGGGTAATGACCAGTAATCAATAGTTCCCATGATGTGGTCCATATTAAACAAGACCATTTAGGGAAAGATTTGTAGGGTTCAATGTCATCAGTGTCATGACAGTGTACACAATTATGAAATAACTGAGAAATCAGTCATTTCAACATTTTTTGGCCCAGTGGCTGGGAGACATGGGAGCTGCTATCGGAAGGAAAGGGACCTTGGGAATTCCAAAGGCCAGCTGTTTACTATCTGATATAGTTGGCAGCTTGTCCAACTGGAATTCAAATATGTTAATCCTGCCAGGGTCTTTCACTGAAACTGAAGTTCAGCTCAGCTATGCAGGCTGGGCAGTGAACTTGGGATCCTCCTGTCTTCCCAGTACTTGTTGCCAAGTACTGCTTTGTATGTGGGCACCAGGGATTTGAACCTAGATGCTTATGCTTGCACAGCCACCAATTTATTAACTGAGCAATCTCCGGAGCCTGGAGCTTGCTGGAACTTCCTGGCCAGTGAGCCCGTGGGATCCACCTTTCTTTGCTCCTCACCCCAATACTAGAGTTACAGACAAATGCTGTTGTGCCAGGCTTTTAAGCAGGTGCCCAGGGTCCAAACTTCATGTTGATGCAGCAAATATATAACCTGGCAGCCCATGTTGCAGCCTGTTAGTCACTTAAATGGATAAGCATTTAATTTTATTTTCATTTTTAAAAGGCAGAGCCTTTATTTCTCTTCTCATCAAAATAATTTCACAAAAGGACCTTTTTTTTCTCTCCCTCTTATAAAAACATCCCCAAATTAGTGCTACCACTCAGTATCCAACCAGGAACAGATGAGGCCTGTCTCTGACTGCCTGGTGTATGTCATTTTTCACTTTGGATTTCATAAGATATAAAAGCTGTGATCTTGGAAGTCCCTCAGAAAGTTAAACATAGAGTTGCCATATGATCTGGTAATTCCAAGAGGACCCAAAACATATGTTCAGACAAAAGCTTGTGCATGAATGTTCATAAAATTATCATTCATAATAGCCACAAATCAGGAGCAACCCAAATATCTATCAACTGGATAAATAGATAAACATAACATGGTATCTCCAGATACTCAATTATTTTTCAGTCACAAAGACAGAATTAAGTTCTGATACATGGTATAACATAGGTGAACCTTGAAAACATGGTTTAAATGAAAGAAGCTGATCACAAAAGCCCACATTTCATATGATTCTAGATATATGAAGTGTCCAGAATAAGCAGATTAATTAGTGGAAACCCACAGACCAGGCAGGAGGTGGTTAGTGGGCCAGGGGAGGGCCAGAAGGCAGAGTCTCGTCAGATGATGATGTTTACCCAGCATCATGGATACGCTGCAAGATACTGAGCTGTACACATTAAAAGCATTAAAATGGTGGATTTTATTCAAGGACTTTAAAGGTCTGTGATCTTTGAAATGGTGAAGGATAACAATGATATCAAAAATTTCCTGTGCTCTTTGGGAAATCAAATACCAGATATATGCTAAATGACTTCCTTTTTCACACCTAAAAATCTGTGCTTGTCCACAATCCATCAACTCTATGGACTGAGGGCTGCCAGACCTCTGTAGTAACTCACCATACCTTCTCTTCTCAACTAGGTATCTGAGGCCACAGTTTGGAGCCTCAGCCCTGGGATGATTATGTTAGCAGACTCTCCTGCCCTCTCTTGAATCCACAGCTGGTATCATGTGACCTTCTAGCACTGTTGTTTGGGTCTTAAGCAAACAGAAAAGGGTAAAAACAATTGTACAACTCCTTATAGTCATTGTGAGTTCACTTAGGGCAACCTTAGAGTCTCAGGTTCCAATATCAAGCACCCACCATATATTTAAGTAGCAAAAGACAATGACCACTGTAGCAATGCACGCCTCTGGTTGGGGTGAACTGCCAGCAGTACTGGGTTTTCATATACAATAACAACCAACACATTGTGCTCAGACTTGCAGTAATGTCAACCCATTGAGACAAACTGTGAACCCAGGGAGACGTTGGAGACAATGCAGGAGCCTGTAAGTTTCCTGAAAACAACAGCCAAAACCTCCATGCACCTCTCCTTAGAAATAAAGCAAACCCCCTCCTTAGAAATAAAGCAAACCATGTATGAAGGAAATACTTGTGTCCTGATCTCTCCAGAAACCTTCTACTGTGTTCTGGAAGTTTCCATCAGAGAGCAAGGTGGGGAGGAGTGCATGCCTCAGAAAGCAGCTTAAAAGAAGAAAAGGCTGCTGGATTGGCAGGAAGTGACACCCCCAGGTTCTACAGGAACATGGTTTGTGTCACATGCACGTGATAGAGAACAGCCAAAGCTGTTTTACTTGTATATCTGGGGACCATGTGGGTGAAAAGCACCCACCCAAAACTACTCTTGAGCTAACAGCTCCACTGATAGAGCAGACAGCAATAAAGAGCCATCAATGAGGAGAGGGTCATAGCCTATATAGGCCATGTAAGTCCTACATGTATTGACAGCTCCTGGTGACATCTTTTGTACCATATCAAGGTACAGTAGGGGCTGATGTGTGTACTGACAACTAGGATTTGTGAGGAAGGGGCTGAAGACCCTCCAGGATATTTTGTGCACTAAGGCAGGAAAATGTGCCATACATCTTAGAAAGATTTCCCTCAAAAATATTAAAATTGTAAAGAGTCAGTACTTAAAGAATTACTCCTTGGTTATCTGAACACCTGTTTACATACCTTGTTTGCATCAAAGCTAGTCAATGAGGCATTTTTTATAGTCATTAGTATCAAATTATTGGCACCATTCAGTTGTAGGGATAGGGAGAGAGCAAACTCTACAACATAAAAATACAGTTCTGATACAAAGATACAAGGTCAGTCCCATTGAACAAGCAGTATTAAGAAATGGATGTGGACAGTTTACACACAAGGAAACACAGCTAGTAACTCATCACACAGAAGTGTTCGGCTTTGCTAGCAGTTCAAATAAAACAGCTTTTCAAGAATAACTATACATCTATTAAACTAGCAAAAAATAAATTAGAATGGCAAAACCCAGTATCAGCAGAGCTACTGATAAATAGAAATGCTTACACATTGCTGGTGGCATCATAAATTGTAGAGGGGATTCAAGCATTCAAAGGAGGGAAGGTTTAAGTGAGATGACCTTTAAGGTCCTTCCAATCCAAAGACTGGATCCTTCTAGAAAGCAATCTGGCAATATAAAACAAGAGCTATAAAATACTTCATGCTCTCTGACTTTGTAATCCCTCTTTGGAGATATTCCAAAGGGAACAACCCAAGAGAAGGATTTTATATATATATATATATTTATTTATTTATATATATTTTTTTACAAAGACATTCATAGCAGCACTATTTATAAGAGTGAAAATTTGCATATAACTGAAATATCTAATAATGGGGAGAGGTGAGGTTAACCATGTCATGTGGTCATGTGGATATAAAGACATTTAAATCAGTAAGAACAGGATCTGTTTAATAAGGAGATGTGTTAGGTGAAAATATAACAAAAGGAATGTCTTCGCTGAACACAGCTATGTAAAAATGGAGCATATCAATGAGAAGAAAGAAGCACTTCAGAGAGCTAGCTGTGGGTGGGGAGGGGCTCCTTAATTTCTGCAAAGGTATTCAAGTGAATAATAAAAATTTAAAAATGCATTTCTTGAAACTATATAAAAGGGGAGTTAAGTTTCTTCTGGGAAAAGTCCTGCCAACATGGTTAGAGTGGATAGAATTTAGAAATAATTTGTATTTATGGAAAAACCCAATGAATCTTCCTGATACTGAATCATCTTGACCTGGTCAAGAGTTTTAGATGATGCAATGTAGAATTTCCTACATGGGGCTCAAAGATAAATTCCTTTTATCCCAGGTTATGTTGTATCCAAAGAGTTCACACATTCAGTTGTACTTCAGGTTAAGCTGAAGTATTTTCAGATATAGTAATATGTAACCTTTTCTTCCATTCATCTATTCATCTCTGAATAAAAATAAATGATTTTATAAGAACTGTGTATTTATCAGTGTAAATGGAGAAACCAGCAGTAAAGAATTAATTCTGTCATTAAAAATGATCCATTTAACAAACAGCCAAAGCTTGTTGCAAGTTTCATAAAAAAAGAAAAAAAAAAAAAAAAAAAAAAGGTCACATAGTTGAGAGTATGAGCGGAGGATTCTGTGCTGCGTTAGCCCCTGGGGTTACTAACAGATACACATAGGTACCGCTGAACAGAAATCCCTTTTCTTCTAGAAACTTCCTTCTAAACCCTGTCTCCACTGAACTGAGCAGTAGAACAAAACCTCTCGTGCTCAGGAGACATAAGATAACTTTTCCAATGAAGTCAAGCCGGAATCTGGCTTCCGCTACCCTGGAGACCTGGGCGAACAGAGCACACTGCTATCCATTGTGCCACAGTGAACCCCCTGAGCCCGAGGAAAGGCAGCGGACGAAGGCACCATGCCATCTCCAAGCAGCAAGGGCAGAGTTTCACAGTTCCGTCATCAACAATCTTTTCATCATCTTCTCTCTTTCCAGTTCTTGCCGGAGTGTCTCTGCACTGAGAAACAGTAAAGGGCCAGGTGGTAAGATAAAGACTCAAAATCAGCAGGTGAGGGCAGAACCTCAATGGTATCTCACAGACATTAGACTTTCCTCTGTTGGCAATTGGCTAACTTTACAGGGAGCTGGAACTGCCTGCTACTGCCAATTCACTCTCTCGGCTTTGTGTGCACAGTTAAAGACAAAGATATGAGCTCTCAGCTTCCTGCTTCTGCTGCCATGCTGGTTGTTTGCTGCCATGTTTCTGCCCTGCCGTGAGGACTCCTATCCCTTTGGAACCATAAACCAAAATAAACTCTCTCTTCATTTAGTCATGGTGTTTTTATCACAGCAACTGAAAAGTAACTAAGACCCCTATGGATCTTGTTCCTACTGTTTAAATAAATACACATATATGGGAAGTTGTGTAAAGGTGCTGTGTGTGTGTGTATGTGTGTGCTTTGCATTGGCAGTTGTGTAAAGGTGGTGGTGGTGGTGGTGGTGGTGGTGGTGGTGGTGGTGGTGGTGGTGGTGGTGTGTGTGGTGGTGGTGGTGGTGGTGGTGTGTGTGTGTGTGTGTGTGTGTGTGTGTGTGTGCGCGCGTTTTGCTTGGTTGGAATCCAGGGTCTCATGTTTCTTGGGCAAATATTCTGCCACTGAGCCACTTCCCAGGCCTGGTGTGTGGTCTATTTATCTACTTCAAAGTGATGAATGTTTCTCCCTCTCTATATCTCTTTCTCTCTCTTTTAAGACAGGGCTGCCAGCCAGGGAGTGAGGGTGCACACCTTTAATCCTAACACCCAGGAAGATCTCTGTGAGTTTGAGGCCCCCTGGTCTCAGAGCAAGTTCCAGGACAGCCAAGGCCACACAAAGAAATCCTGTCTAGAAACAACAACAAAAAGACAGGGTTGCCTAGGCTAGTCTCAAACTTATAGCCTCAGACAATTCTTCCAGCTCTGACTCCCAAGTAGCTGGAGTGTATCTCACTGCATGGGACCTACAAGGTATATACTTTTTAAAGATTTATTTTTATTTGTGTGTGTATACGCACACACACACACTCCACATGTATACAGGTGTCCAAGGAGGCTAGCAGAAGGCACCAGATCCTTTGGAGCTGGAGTTAAAGGTGGCCATGAGCCACTTAATGTGAGTAATAAGAGCAGAACTTGGGTTCTCTGGCTGAGCCATCCTTCTAGCCACTGAAATGTGCATTTTTAAAGGCAAAGAGTTAACTTTAATAGTTTCACTCAGAATGGAAGTTTAATAATAATCTCACCCTGCCATGACCAAGAAGGCCCCACACACACAACCTGGCCCCAATGCATAGCATTAGTGGGTTGCTGCTGTCATCTATCCTGTACCTTAGCCAGGAAACTTCTAGACCAACCTTCTAGCTTCACTAGTTCTTAGTTGTTTAAAGATTTAATTCTGGAGGACCCATTGCTGAGCAATATTTACCAGGGTCTCTTCACCTTGACTACGGATAATATGTCTGACAAGTGGGCTCTGGTGATGGTGGTAGTCTAGGCTGCCTCCTCAGTACCAATCTGACATTTTTACTTGGAGATGGGACTCAGGTCATTGTGTTTACATAACAACACAAGACAGACACTTTACATACAACCAGCCCAAAACAGGTTCCTGCTGTCCTTGCCAGCCTGGCCTAATTATTAGCAAGTACCAAGTCAGCCAGAGGCCTTGTCTTGAGGAGGTAGATAATGTTCCTGAGGATGACAGCTGAACTTGTCCACTGACTTCCACACATACATGTGCACATACCTGCATCTTCACATGCATGTGGACGTACATGTATGTGCACACACACACGCACAGTCTCTTTTGGTGGAAACACTGACTTCACTAAGGGCCTTAAGGCATGTGATGGGTACTCAGCATGAGTCGGAAGGCTTGATATCTCTGTCTCCTTTGCTGCCCTATCTTTGGGTCAGCATTTGTTCTGCTCTCCACACTGATCATTTAAGATGTGTTTTGTCCAGATCTATAATAAAGAGTCGACTTGACCTAGATTTGCCTAGTCTCTCCCTGACTTTAAGGCTAAAAATACTTGCTTGTGCCCATGGCTGGAAATACAGATCACAAAAGGAGCACAAATATGTGGAAACCCCCTGCCTGTTCCCAGAAAAAAGACAGGGCTGTCTCTCTCCTTTGTCTACAGGTCTCTGTCCTCACTCTGCCCTGAGTCACTAACCCCTCAGTTCTCCAGAGCCAAGAGGCTACTTTGTGGCAATTCCCCAGTTCCTCTGTTTGTGTATCCCCAGTCAATGGCCTCCGCAAGCGACAGCAGAATCTTAAGCTTTTCTCATGACCACACTGGCTCATAATCTCTCTTAATCATGCTAGGTGTGACCAAGTCCAGGAAACCAAGACTGGTGAGTCCCTCTGCCAAGCCTACTCTTCCCCAACTATCTGTAAGCTGCTCCCCACCATCTTCAGGGGGCAGTTCAAGAGAGACATCCCAACCTGTCCCATTGCCTTTCATCTTCTCAATTCACTCCTTGCCCCTGACATATCTCACACACACACACACACACACACACACACACACACACACACGCACACACTTGTTAGTCTGTTTCCCTTACCCTCATGTACAAAACAGCCAACCCCAGAAGGATAGGACTTTTATCTGTTTGGTTCCCTGTCCAATCCTAGCACCTAGAACACAGTGTACCACTTGGAGACCTTTCCTTACAGGCTGAATGAATGGAAGAATGAATGGGAGGGGCTAGGAAGCTGGCTCATCAGTGAAGTGCTTGCCTTAGAAGAATAAGGACCTGATCAGCTCTCTAGCACTTAAGTAAAGCCTGGCTTGGTGATGTGTATGTATCTGTAATCCCAAGGCTGGGGACGTAGAAACAAGCAGATTCCCAGAGCTCATTAGCCAGCCAGTCTACGTGAATTCATGAATTTTAGAATTTTAATTTTAATGAGAAACTGTCTCAAAAAATAAGATAGAAAGTGATTGATCATGATACCATCTAATGCTGACCTTTGGCCTCCACATACACATACACACATATGCATGTGCACTCTCACATGCATGTGTACACACTCACATGAACACATATGTACATATACACCACACATTCACGCACACTAGAAAAAAGAATGAATGAGAGACTATGAATCCCACACAAGGTGAGCTAGAGTCTGGTCCACTGTTGCCAGGATACCTGTAGGTGCTTACTTCTGTGACTCACCTGGCTGCCAGAGAGACAGGCTTCCTGGAGGTGTAGATGGTCTGTACTGTGGACACGGTCTCTGTCAGTGGCCGCAGGGTTGCTGTTGGAATCAATGGAGAAGACTGGCCAGGACAGCATGGCAATCTGTTCTCTCTAAAGTCTGCCTGGAGAGGAAACAGACAGGAAACATCAATCTCCAGGCCAAGCATCATGCTGTCAGCTGCTCTCCTGGCCTCACTGTATTGTGCTTGTTATTTTAATAATAGCTAAAGTCATCACACATTTTCAAATTATCTTAGATGATCTTACTCTGTGCCAGACACCCGGCTAAGCACCTTCCATACGTTATCTCTTGACAGCCTGTAAGACAGAGATCATCTATCACTGCATCTTAGAAACCATCCTTTGGAAGATGCATCAATTCTGCATGTATCACGGGAAAAGCAAAGCATGGTACTCAGGCATTGTTATGTTGTATTTTGTAGTAAACATGATTTCAGGGCCATAGCGATGGTTGCTGCCTGCGGAGGACCTAGGTTCAATTCCCAGCACCCATATGGTGACTCGCAACCACCAACAGTTCCAGTTTCCAGGATATCTGATGTCTTCTTCTGGCTTCGGTGGGTACTGCGTGCCCACGGTACACATGAACTCACACAAACACTCACATGAACATGAAAATATGTAAATAAAACAAACATCTGATTTCATCACGTTAAAAGATGAAAAATGTACATCTTAGAACTGTAAACCTTGAGAGTTTAAGTCTTTTAATTGATGTCACCGAGTAAGTACTTATTTGTTAGTTTTAAGAATTTTAAAAATGGTCTGGGTGGTGGGGGCACACTCCTTTAATCCCAGCACTTGGGAAGCAGAGGCAGGCAGATCTCTGTGAGTTCAAAGCCAGCCTGGTTTACAATATGAGTTCAAGGACAGACTTCAAAATTACACGGAGAAACCCTGTCTCAAAAAAAAAAAATTTTTTAAAAAATGACTGTGTGACTTTGAAGACTCCCCATGGAAGGCCTCACCCTCCCTGGGGAGCAGAAAGGAGATGGGATGAGGGTTGTTAGGGGAACAGGGGAAGAAGGGAGGATGCAGGAACTGGGATTGACATATAAAACACGCTTGTTTCAAATTTAAATTAAAAAAATATAAAAAAAAGACTCTGTGTGTATGTGAGTGTGAGTGTGTGTGTGTGTGGTGTGACATGGCTCGCATGTGGCGGCCAGACGACAACTTGCAGGACACAGTTCTCTTGTACCAAGTGGATCCCTGGAGTTGAATAAATTTAGGTCATTAGCTCCTTTGGCTACTGAGTCATCTCAAAGGCTCCAACAAATAATTAAGAACACTACTCAGGGGCTGGGGCGATGGCTCTATTAGAAAAGTGCCTGCCACACAAGCATGTGGAACTAAGTACAGATCCCTAGCACCCACGTGAAAAGCCAGATCCAGGAGCACACATCTGTAATCCTGACACAGACAAGAGGACCCTTTAGGACTTGTTAGGTTCTCAGGGAGATACTGCCTCAAAAAAAAGAAAAGAAAAGAAAAGAAAAGAAAAGAAGAGAAAAAAAAAAGGATCTAGGTACATAGCTTAGTAGTTCAGAGGGTTTGATGTTCATTCAGAGGACCTGAGTTCTGTTTCCAGCATCTATGTCATGCGGCTGCAAACTCCAGTCCTAGGGTAGCTGATGCCATTGCCTAGCCCCTGTGGGCACTCTACTCTCACCTCTTCGAGCACCCACATACGAATGGCATGTATTCCTGCAGTCACACATGTATATATATAAATAGAAATAAAACAAGTCTTAAAAACAAAAGGTAGAAAGGGATTAAGGAAGAGCTCATGTACAGTCATATATATTTGTACACAAGTATACATATCCACACAGATATATAACACAGACAGGCAGACAGACACACTAACTGTATTCAGAGGCAGTGAGTGCACTAATGCTGTTCTTCACTGATAGAGCACCACAGTGGGTCTAGAATATGGTCCCCAGACCAGCAACATCATTATTAGTTTGATACTTGGTTAAAATGCTCAGGCTCTACTCGAGATGCTGGTGCCAGACAGCCCAATATGGCAGGCTTTCACAAGACTTCCAGATGGTTCTCGCACACAGCATTTTCAGAACCACTGACCTGCAGCACACTGCCTGGTCCAGAAAGGGAAATTGCTTGTCATTTTCATTACAAAGCAAAATATGCTTATTACTTTTCCTCAGAGAGCTTAAGAAAAGCAGCAGCTGTTGGGAGGCTGAGAGTGGTGGGGGACGTGGACTACATAGTGAGACTCAATAAAACCAAAACCAGAATAAACAAAACAACAAAATAATATAAATGAAGAAATTTTATAATTCCTTATTGTCGTCATTAATATATTAGTCAACAGTAGTTTCTCATGCATTGTTTTTGTTTCAAATCCCTAAAGATTTGAAACTGTGCATGTGTGTTTTGTTTCCATGTATGTATGTGCACTGAGTGTACAGATGGTACCCAGGAGATCAGTGTTGGGTCCTCTGGAACTGGAGTTACAGATAGCTGTGAGCCATCATGTCAGTGCTAGAACCAAACCCAGGTCCTCTGAAAGAACAGTAAGTGTTCTTAAGCACAGACTCATCTCTCCAGACCCCTCTTTAAAAAAAAAAATTCTTTTGATAATTATCAAAAAAATTAAACATGTGCATATGTATATATACTTGATTTTTTTCTTTAATGGTGGTTCTTGGCTCTGAATTTGAAGCAATTTATCACCAGCTTTTTAAAGAGGCTTTGATCTTTGAGTGCATAATTAATTACCTTCTTTTAAGGTACAAAGCCCTGCCTGTGTCTTACATATGCCCCTTAAAGGGAGACTAACTTGTTTGAAGTAGAGAAACACCAAGGAATGACTACTGTTGTGTCTCCGTTGAAATGTCGCTTTGGAGAAGCGGCTTTACATGCCAGAATGTCACACGTACAGGTGCGCAGATGCTTGTCTAGCATGTAAGGCTTGCTACGGAGAACTGTGTGCATGTGACACTCACTTGTGCTGTTCATCAGGTCACCCTGGCTCACCACTTTCCAGGCACACAGTAGAATGAAACCTTACTGCTCTATTCAGTGACATAAGGACTGATACTGTGTTTCCTGTCACAGGAAAATGAAGGGGCCAAGTGTGCGGCTTGTTTCCTTTTCCCTGTCTGCCATTGTAGATGCTGATGCTGCACACAGCAGGCAGCCGATCCATAAGCCTGGGCGATGCAGGGCAGAGCCCTCAGCATGTCTATGACAGACGGGCTGCATGTGCAGGAAAGCCATTCTATGTGCTGTTTAACAGCCTGGCAAGCAAAGTGTGGCAGCTAATAGCAGGTTGCTTCAATGAGTGGGCAACAGGTGGGCTTCTGAGGCCTCTTCTGGAGGACATTTGCACTGATGGTGCAAAGGCACAGGTGGGCAAAAGTGCTGAGGTTGCAGGACAAACGCTAATTATGGGTGTGTACCCATGTGTGGGGTGGACAGTGACACTTGTTGCACTTACGAAGGATCTTGAAGAAGCAGTAAATTTTCTTATTAATCCCTCATCTTTATCTTTTACCTGCTAAATGGAGCAATGAACACATGCATTAACTTTAAGTAGAATGAAGCAGGTAACAGAAGAACACGGCAGGTTAGGAAGGGGAACGTGGACCAGATGCGGACAGTGATCTTGCTGGGGGGGGGGGGGGACATGTGGGTCTAGATGGAGTGACTCGAGGCTGTGAGTATGGAAACCTAACACCATGGCTTGAAAGCAGCAGTCACCTGATGGATATGGACCAACATTCTCTATCAGAATCAATTAAGAAAATTCAGGGTCAAAGAAGGACCAGACGGCTTGCCAGTTCAACTTTGTACAGAGTCTTTTGGAACTGTTAAAGACCCTGTGGCTCCAACCAGGACAGATCTGGAGGCTTGTGGAGTGTTAGGGTGTCTTGTCCTTGGATAGAAGAAATGACCTTATACAGGGGTGAGAAAATTAGAGGCCACAAGTTTGGCTTCTGGGCCAACCAGCTGTGAATCCCACCTATCCTCACTCTCATTTACTCCCAACCCCTAAGCTGTTGGAGAGTAATCCTTGTTCCCAGCCCAGTCTTTCAAAGGCCAGCACACCATGCAGGTTTGTCCTTTCTCACAGGCCAGCCTACTTCCAGACACTTACTCTTAATACAGAATGGCTCCTGTATTAAAGGCTTGGTCCCCATATATAAAGACAGGTGACTGGCACATGAGAGAAGGGACTTATTAATCTCGTAGCTGAATGGGCTACTGGGAAGTAGGGGCTAGTTGGAGGAAGTGGGGATGTTGCCCAGGCCCTTCCTTGGCCACTTCCTGCTTCTGGATGCCACAGGAGCAGCTTCCCTCTGCCATTTCCTTGTATTGTGCTGTCTCTGCATTGTATCAGGCCTAAAGGCAGTGAAGCCACCTGGTCATCTGTTGAGACCTCTGGCTCCAGCTGGTCATCTGTTGGGACCTCTGGAGCCATGTGGTCATCTGTTGAGACCTCTGGCTCCAGCTGGTCATCTGTTGAGACCTCCGGATCCAGCTGGTCATCTGTTGAGACCTCCGGATCCAGCTGGTCATCTGTTGAGACCTCCGGATCCACCTGGTCATCTGTTGAGACCTCCGGATCCACCTGGTCATCTGTTGAGACCTCTGGCTCCAGCTGGTCATCTGTTGAGACCTCCGGATCCAGCTGGTCATCTGTTGAGACCTCTGGAGCCATGTGGTCATCTGTTGGGACCTCTGGCTCCAGCTGGTCATCTGTTGAGACCTCCGGCTCCAGCTGGTCATCTGTTGAGACCTCTGGAGCAGTGAGCCTCAGTGACTCTTTCCCTTTTCAAGTTGTTGTTCTCAGGACTTCATCAGAGCGATGGGAATCTCAGCGAATGGACTCACCATCTGTCTACGTTCTGGATGGCAGAAACCTGGCAATCATTTGTCCCTCTCCCTCCCTCACCTGTCTAGTATCATACCAGCCTCCTAAATTTCTCCCCCGTCTGTACACTTCTCCCCACCTCTCCCATCAAAATCACTCAGGGGCAGGTGCCCTGCACACTCTCTCTTAAGCTACTGACCTAGATTTATTTCTAGGCTATTGTTCTAAACCTGTTCTGGCTGGACCCAAATGTTCTCCCACAGTGATCACAAAGCTGCTTTCTAAAAACAGCTGCCCTGTTCTAACATCTTCCAGAGGCTCCCCATCGCTGCTGGGAAAGGGCCAGGCCTGGCTTCGCTCCTACAGCATTTGTTCCTCTTTCCCGTCACACCCCAGGCTCCTGCTCTCTGTATTCCAGTTCCCGCGCCTTCTTTTCAGTCCCTTGAATGTGTGATGGCCTGTCCCTCCTCAGGACTCCAGTTCATGCTGCTCCCTCTGTCTGCTCCAGCTGCCTGTAAGCCACTTTTGCCCAGTTCTTAAAAGTCCTGGTGTGACTGCTGACATTGGCTTCCAGCTCCATCTGCACTCCCAGCTTTCAAGAAGGGCTTCCCTGGGTGTGTCTCATCACTGCCAAAGGCTGGGAAAGAGACCAGAGTGGCCCCATCATGGCCAACTGAGGGAACTGGAGCGGAGATTCCAGCTGAGGATCTGTGTCCAGCCAAACTGCAGGCTGGGTTGGCTGTGCAAGCACCATGCAACCGTGACAGACATCTTGACATAGCCCTGGGTAGCATGGTCTCTCATTAAAGTGAGCTCTTAACTCTAGAAATAAATGTCCTAGACACTTCGTCTCCTTCCCACAGAGAGGGCCAACAACCTTCTCACCTCTGTTCACCTAAAGGGGCCACTGCTCCGTCCTTCCATGCCATGGGAGGAAGCCTCATTAGCTAGTGACCACTATTGTACTCAGGGCTGGACCTCCGTTCCCTTGGAGGTCCTCCATGGAAGACAGAAAGCCTTGGAAGAGAGTCTCATGGACCACATGAGGTCAGAGATCACAACTGACTCCCGGGAGAGGAAGTAGAGAAGGGCTGTGGTCTCTCACTTCTGCTCTATGTAGCAGCTCACTATAACGTGCGGTTCTGCAGAAACTCCCAGGAAAGAATGGGTTGGGCATCTACAGAGAAACGTGGAAATACTCACTGCTGTCATTCTGGAGAGGAAGGAACTATGGCATCCAAAATGTTAGAAAAGGGGCTGGGGAGATGGCTCATCGGGTTAACAATACTTCCTGTTCTTACAGAGCACCTGGGTTTGGTTCCCAGCACCCACATGGTGGCTCACAACCATCTATAACTCCAATTCCAGTGGATCCAATGCCTTCTTACCCTTGTGGGCACCAGGCACATATGTGGCACACATCTATACATGCATGTGAAATGCTCATACACATAAAATAGCATAAATAAACACATTGAACCTATTTGCTGACTCTAAGTTGTCTAATGAAGACAGGGAGGTAGTCACCAGGAGCCCGTGGCCAGGATTTGGACATGGTCCTGGTCTTTGTACCACCATCTCTGCAGCCTGGGAAGTCAGCAGTCACCACAGACAGAGATCTGTATTAGGAAAGTACTTTTGTATCTCAGTCCCTTTAGATGCATGTTTCAACCAGATTATTTCTCATTACTGTTCCTGGGGAGATGGCTCACTAGGTAAAGTGCTTGCTACAAATGAGGACCTACGTTCTATATCCAGAACCTATGTTAAGTAAGGCATATATGGTTGTGTAGGAGGATCCCTCAGCTTAGTGACCAGTCTGAGTAGCTAAGTCAGTAAGCTCCAGATCTATGGGATACCCTGGGTCAAGAACAAGGTGGATGGTACCAAAGGAATGATAAATCATTCTCTCTCTCTCTCTCTCTCTCTCTCTCTCTCACACACACACACACACACACACACACACACGAACACACACACTGCACACATGCACATAAATTCATACATGTATGTGCATGCACAGATATGAGAGCATATGGTCTATGTGGTAAAGTGACTTACCTAAGACCACACACTATTATTAAGATGCAGATCCAACCCAAGACCATTAGAAACAGGTGTTAAAACAAGTACACAGCACACATGACAGCATTATTTCCAATGCCAAAGGTAGACACCACCCAAATCCCTGTAAGTCAATGGATAAACAGACTGCAGTAAAACCATACTGCAGAATTTCTCCACAAAAGAAAGGAAGTATAGATTCATACTTTAAAGTAGATGGATCTGAAAACATGGTGTTAAGTGAAAAAAATGTAGCTGGGCCATGGTGGCACATGCCTTTCATCCCAGCACTCAGGAGGCAGAGGCTAGGCTGGGCCAGAAGTAGGACCCTAAAAGTAGACAATTAGTGGCAATGGGGAAGGGCATGCACTCAATGTACAATATACACTTGTATGAACCTTTTTAAAACTAAAATTTAAATTTTAAAATGCCCAAGTGATCTAGGGAAATGGTCAGTGGATAAAGTATTTGCCATGTACATGTAGGGACTGGAGTTCAGAGCCCCAGCAGCCACAAAAGAGCTGGACTGGATTAGCATGGTGGCTTGCCTGTAATCCTAGCTCTAAAGGCAGAGTCAGGGATCCTTGGGACAAGTTGGTTAGCTAGACTAGGGGAACTACTGGAGCATTCTGGGTTTGACAAGTCTTTGATGATGAGTATAATTATCAAAAAGCCAGGGGGAAAAGAGAAAGAAAAGAAGACCCCCAACATCAACCTATGGCCTCCACACAAATGTGCACACATGTGCACCTACACACATGTATCCACATACCACACATACACCCACACTGACAAAAAGAGGCCTAGGCCTTATCCAATCTTTAAAACTACCCGGACACAGTGAATTTCATGAGTACTGAATGCACTGGGGGTGCAGTGGAAAGGAAATATTGAAAACAATGGGTTTTCTCTCTCACAGAAAGTACTGTTGGACAAAGAGGGAGACCACTGTTCAATAAACACAGTAAATACTACTGAAGAGTCTTAATATGCTTAATTTCCTGTGAATCTCATCTCAATAAAGTAAAGCAGACCCCATCCACAGTGCCTCCTTCCCCCACAGTCTTGTCCATGGGAAAGCAAAGGCATACAATGTGGCCTGCCATCTGAGGCTACTCACAGTGAACTGTGGCCCTGCAGTGAAGGGATCAGGAAACGGGTTCATCATTGGTTCCGCTGGGAATGTTTTTATCATCATCGGTTCCGCCGGGAATGTTTTTATCTTCAAAAAAAAAAGGCAATGGGGTTATCTTTCTGTCAAAAACATTTTTGAAGACTTGACCAGTACACCTTTAGAACTGGGAGGAAGGATCCTGGGAAGTTTAGGAGCCTTCATCTCTCTGCGGTGGAGGCAGGCCTGGGTTACATGATGACATGTTCTCCTTGCCTCGGACTCCCTTTTTGGGGGATTTTTAGGCCTGTGTCCCAAGCCTACTCCAGAAACACTCCTGAAACACTCAAGGTAGATGAGGAGGCGATCCTTATGTACCTGGGAAGGCCTCTGAGGGCTTTGCCACAGCTTTGGGACATGGCAAGAGGCTTCTGAATGGTCTGCTGGGGACACAGTGTATCTCAGCTGGTCGGGTCAATTCAACCGGAAGGCAGTGCCTGTCAAAGGACTTACACTGTTCAACCCCTGTGCAGTTAGAGCAGCAGAACTCCTGAAGAGAGCACATGGCCACCATGGCCCTTGGGAACAGAAGTGAGCAATGAATACCGACAGTAGTTTCAGTAAGGCCAGTCAGCAGGTGAGGGCGGCCTCTCTTTCCTTCTTTTTGCTCATTTTGTCTTTGGCTTCTTGGAGGCCTTGGAAAATGACAGGACTCATTTCTTTGAGCGAACATATACCAGGACAGCCAGAGGCCCGGTGACTGTGGCCTGTGTCTGTAGTTCACCTGTGTCCCTGTGCAGGCAAGGATTGTTGACAAGGCCCAGAGGCCATCCCTGCCCAGGGGCGGCAGCGTTGTGCCCCATGGGATCTTGCCTGTGGACTCTAGGAAAGGACCTTGGCACTTTCACGCTCTTCTAAAGGGAAGGGAGGCACAGGGACATTGCAGACTAGACCCAAGTCAGGAGCTGTTCTCTGAACAGGCAGAACAGGTGTCAGTCAATATGGGGATAACTGTATCTTTGCAATGTATGTGACGATGTTCACCCTGACCCAACTATACTTTCAGTAATATCTGTACAAATAAGTATTCCCAAGTTCCCAGAATGAGCCCCAAGCTCCCAAAGACTCTTGGGCCAAAACTTCACAGAACATTCTCCCATTCTCTTTGCCTGGCCCAACAGGCTGGCATGGCATTCTTTAACAAATTTCATAATGAAAAGAAATCTGCAGAGAGGGTCTCAGGCCAACCAGAACAGACAGGAAGTGCTTCCTTATGGCTATTAATGAAGTGTGGACGTTAGCAGCTTCAAACGATGGCCTTACACTGCCGTGTAAGAAGCTACATTCCCATGACACCCCATGCTCACTGGTATGGCAGAACACGCTGCATTCTGGTGGCACTCTCCAACTCTAGGGCCATTTCAGAAGGAGGCAAAAGGCAAAGTCATCCCACACCACTCAAAAGGGTCTAGACTAAGGAAATGCCTCATGCTCCCTGAAACAGTGACAAACTGCAAACAGAGCACCTCCTAAGATGAGGGACTGCTAAATAAACCTTTGCTTGATGGAGATGAATGGCCATACAGGACGAGACAGAAAGAGTGCTACGAGAAAGGAGGAAAACAGGAGACACCGTGCCTACTACTACTTAACAGGTGAGATTATGAACGAACATGAACAAACAGAGGAAAACACGCAAAGAAAAAAGTGTGCTCAGTTATGATGAGATGGTTCCTTTTAAGACATCATGTAGGACTCCTGTTGTGCCATGATGTCAGTGACTAGAAGGGGAAGGTGAGTTTAAACCTTTATTTGCACAGGACAGACAGACACTTAGGTCCCCCCCCCCCCCCCCCCCCCGAAGGTGACTATCAAAGTGTATATTCCTCTCTAGGTAAGTATCTTTTCTCATTAAAGTTCTCAGAAAGCAAATGGCTCTTGGGTCTTGCGAGCTATGGAGAAAGGGGTAGGAGCAGGGTGTGTGTCTTGGTTTGGCCAATCCCAGCTGGACCCCACATTCCCCCATCCATCGAGGGATGAGAGCACCAAATAGCAGGGCTCTTTGGAGGTCTGGCACCTCTGCACATCCATCCAGCTACTGCCTCACCTGGGGCTCCTGCCACCTCCTGTGTCCCAGCAGGCCCCCACCCTGTCAGGGTACCTACCAGCCTCGTTTTGATTGGAGGATACATGCAAACTCCAGTGGTCTCTTCCTTCATTGGGAGAGAGAGTGGAGGAGAGCAGCGAGGGTGGGCACAGTGGGGGCTGCTGGCGGGCTCTGCCTGCTCACGAGGAGAGGAGGAGAGACAGGGAGGAAGAGGTGGTAAGACAGGAAGAGAGAGAGGAGATAAGGGAGGGAAAGGAGAGAAAGACAGCACAGTGCAAGACAGATCTGGCAACCCAGACTACTCTCAAGCCAGCATTACCCATGGCTGCTTTCTAGACACTGTTAGCCTCTGGAGTGCTAACTGCCAGTCCCACCCATTATCCTCCTCTCTGTCTCTCTTCTCGCTGGCTTTCGCCTCTTTTCTCCAATCCATGAGCAGAAGGGCAAACCAAACCCCTTCCCAGGGATGGCAGAGCCAAACTATCTCCTTGTGCCAGCAGCATAGGACTGGGAGCAGCCCCTCCCCCCACCACACCCCCAACCTGAGAGTGTCACTAGGGTTCTGAAGCATTGCCCAGGCCAAGTCACAAACAGCACCATGGGTTAGCAATGGCAGGTATGGGAGCAATATGCGGGCTGCCACACACTTGAGAGCATTTGCTTTCTACACCCAGCCTCAGCCAAGGAAGGGTGCTGCCTACAGTGTGCGGGTGATGAGTGTCCAGCAGAGGATGCCAAGGAAGAGTTACACCCCTAAGAAGCACCAAGTTCAGGATCTCATACTTCTGGCCCTCTGCCACATGGGTTCAGAACTCAGAGCCTCCCAGTTTTCTCACCCATGAGTTCAGGGTTAGGCATCTCCTACTAGAAGTGGGGGCGCCCTGATGCTCAGCTGGAAGACATACCAAGCATTGTAGAGAAAGTGTCACACTTTTGGGATGCCAGCTCCCCTTTCCCCTCCCCCCAGGGGTGGGGCTCTGAGAAATGCCACGTGCCCAGCAAAGGTGCAGAGCTTGTTTGAGTGAGGATGAGGATGGAAATAGAAGATGTTCAGTGTTAGGAAGATAGGACTGCTGAAGGGTTAGTGTGGGCTTCAGGGAGGGACCACTCATTCCAGAGAACAAACATGCATCGTGTAGCTCAGGAAAACTTGGCAGCATCCCACGGTGAGGATTAAAATACAGCCTCTGGGTAGCTTTCACTAAAAAGAATGATCAAGGAAATTACAGGCCGCCTTCGTTCCCTAAATCCATCTGATTCTGTCGTCCCACAACCACAGACCTGAGCAGCTGCCAGAGGCTTTCACAGCCATCGCCTCCCGGACAGCCTTACTTTGCATTCACATCTGGGAGATGCAGAAATTGTTTCTGCAGAGTTGAAATCCCAGGTTCCACCCCCTCTTTGTTGATTGTTTCTAAGTCCTTTCTTCAGAGCGAAGTGAATCCATATTAGTCACCTGTAGTTTAAGTTTACCGGCCTACTTAAATCCCTCCTCCGGTTCTCTTCGGTTCTCAGGAGAAATCCTGATGATGCCTGCAGGGTGTCCCTGTTCCTGTTAGAACCAGCCACACCAGAGCCCCTCCAATATAAGCCCCTGGGCTCTACTCCTGCTGACAGAGACGGAAACTCAATATATATTTAGTAAAGGAAATAAAATCTGTCACAAATAACCAAGAAGCATCATATCACCTAATGGTCAGAAATTGGATTGCTGATCATTAGGAATGACTCAAGATTTTATCCAGCTCTGGACTTTTATGGTAAGTGCTAGTCCAATAATACTGACCTTCCTAAAAAGACACCTTAGTAGGTTGTGGACTGCTAGTAAATCCACAACCTTGACTCTTTAGTCCATAGCCAGAAAACAAAGTATTAATAACATGTCTAACAGAATACTTTGGATATGGCAATTTGCTTTTTCTCCTGGCTCTTCTCGCTTGGGGGTTTTCTGCATTTATTATACTACATTTTTGTATAGATAATTAGCTTTTGAGTTTTAAAATGTGACTCTTTGGGAGAATGAAAAGATTGTTGGTATCAATAAATAATAATGGAGTTGAGGGGGTTTCTTTTTCATGGGCTCAAAAAAGGACATTGCTGGAGTCAGGCAGATAGAGAAAGGAAGATAATCTAGAATACTGAGTAATGAGGCCAGAGTGGGCTAGTTCTCTCTCTCTCTCTCTCTCTCTCTCTCTCTCTCTCTCTCTCTCAACAGGGACTAAAGAGCAAGAACGACCTGAATCCCTGGTCAAGTGGAGCTGGGGGGGTAGTAGGTTCCAGGACAGTCTGTAAGTGAAAACAAACAGTGATTTCCCCCAGAAGCCCCATTAGAGATGCAGAGAGCATCTTAGATGTATCTATGAATGACACCCCCCCCCAACCCTGAGGAGCAAAGCAGCAGCCATGGGCAGACAGATGGACACCTGGACTTGAGATTAGTTTCAGCCTACCTGGAAGAATGGAGCCCCAAACAAGTTGTCGAGCTAACTGGAAACCCAGTCCTGACACCCAGCCAGGGCCTGATCCCACAACTCATGTGGCCTTCCTCAGACCAGACCACTGTCTCCCAGTCATATACATACTTCACTAACATGCCATGTTCCAGGACGCATTGGCTCTGCTTTGTAGGCTTGTGGATGAATGGTCTAAAAGATACAGAACTCAGAGGAGGGTAAACCCCACAGGGAAAGAGTCAAGAGCAGAGAGGGGACAGATGGGTATGGTCTGTTACTAGCAGGAGGTAGGCTGACTGGCTGACCCAATATGAGGCAGGGTCTGTGTGCCTAGGGTTCCCCTTTGACTCTTCTTTTCTGGACCTGGATACTTTGAAATACTCCTTTTCACATATACTGGGCAAGGATGGAGAGTCATAACGTGATATTGTTTCTCATAGAATCTCAGTGGAACACTCCTGAATGAATGACAGAACATCTGGTCCTATTGTCCCCTTCTCCACGTCCCTTCTAGAGGGGCCTGAGGATTACAGGGTACTGTAGATATCTCAACCAGGAGAAGAGAGGAGATGATTGGACAGAGGCCGAGCTTCGAAGGTGACTACGGGATGGAGGTCACCTACTGTGTGATGAGTGTCAGAATAGAATTTTAACATTCTTGTCTGGTAAACTTTCTCTTTTGAAGGAAAGATCTAGAGAAAGAGAGTGGCCAGGGGCCAAGAGTACAGATCTGGTAGCCAATAAACCATGCTTCATCCTTGCTGAGTCTCTTAGACTGCAGACACAGCCTTCTCCATTCTCATCTCACAAGGGAACCACAGGCCCCAACTTGGGTTGAGGCTTCGAGACCGTCCCAGAGTTTCCTCCAAGCCTAGGCTCTGGAGGTAAAATTGAGGTCAGTGGATCTGGCAAGCTTCAAGGAAGAGGGACACATCCTGACTCTGTCACCTGCCATAAGGCTTGGGTTCTATATAGTCTTAGGCCTGATGCCAACCTGCTGTGTGAGTCTGAACAAGTGCATATCCCTGACTGAGCCTTGGTTTCTATGTCTGTAAGGGAAAACCAGGATGAAGTGGCCCCAAACCTCCACTCCCACTAACCAGCTGGGTACAAGCCAGGCATGGAGCTGTGCTTTTGTGGCTGCACCCCAACCTCAAGTTTAAAACAGCAAAGTGGACACAATTACTGATACAGTGGTCCCTGGGAGCAGGTTTCCCAGTCTCAGGTGTTGAGTCCTCTCCTTCCTGAGCTGTCCAATGGGAAAAAGGGAGACAGATACTGCTCTGCAGGAGGGGACATGAAAGGGGACCAGACAAAGGGAAAAGCATACTGCCAAAGTCCTCCTTCTCTCCCTTTCACTCTTTGCCACTCAAGGAAACAGGAACAAGGAAAGGTCAGAGTCTATGGTGCCAAGACATGTCCTCTGCAGAACCTATGTATGCATACTTGGACCTCAAGATGTCCCAAGGACACACAGTCACTGTGAACCTCACTGGGTAGCAGTCTCACTGCAGCCCAAGGACTCAGCTGCATATACAGTACAGCATCCTGGACCCTGTTTCACAGCTAAGTCAGAGTTGTCCAAAGATGTAGAGAGCCATCTCCAAAAGGGTGGGGGGGGGGTGACAGTCTCTGAAACAGGAAAGTCACTTGGCACACCTCTAGGAGTCCCTACCATATGCTGTTTCCTTTCCAACCCGTCTTCAATATCCACGCCAAGATGTTTTGAATCCAGAAGTAATTAAATCTATATGACCAAACACAAGTTTTTGAAAGGAATCCTATTACTCTTGTAAAACATCATAATGTATTTTAACCATAGTTCTTAATTATGATCACTAAATTGACCATTCTTAGATCCACCAGGCCCTTTAGTAAATTAATACCTTATTCATGCTGACTCTTGATATAGAATACTGCAACTTTTTTTTTTTAAGTCAGAGTCTCACACTATAGCCCAAGTCAGCCTGTAATTCAAGGCAATATCTTCCTTCCTCAGCCTCCCAAGTGCTGGGATTACAGGTGTGTGCTGCTATGCTTGGGTGAGACTATTTTAGTTGTCAACCAAACTCCTCTTCATACTATAAGATTCAATGGTCCCAGACAGGGGATAGCATCTTATATAGACACATATGGTTTTGTTCACTGCAACAAAACGAACAGATTGGAAGTTGCCCATCAGCCCAACTGAGAGGGATAGGTTTCCCTGGCTCGTAATTCCTGCTACACATACTTCCTTTTACATGGTCCTCAGAGCTTAGCTGTCTCCCTCATTCTCCTTCACAGATTCTCAGGATGTACCCTAAAAGTTCCCAGACCTCTCTGGCTAGCTGCCAGCAGCTGGACTGGATGTTCTCAGATAGCTGTCAGGGATTCCATCTCCAAAGGCCCTCCTGGGCAAGAGGCTTCATCTGGGAAGTATCTGTCAGCTCCTGACCCAGGATGTGGCTTTCTGACTTTCCTCCATGTTTTCCCCCATTTTCCTCCCCATTCTAGAAATCACTTCTTTTCAAAGTGGCAAATTCCCCACAGAGAAGGCCAGATTCCCCCCCCCCCCAATCCAATGCATAGAGCATAGGAGGAGGGGCCAGATACCAAAGTTCAGATCCCATGTAGTCCTGAGTGATTTGCCTATTCCAGGACTCAGTTTCTGCATCTGGGCAGAAGACCGATAAGGTCATGCTGAAACGCCATCAGCTGTGGTAAGTATGTTGGAAAGGCAGGGGAAAAGGGTACTTTGGTCTTGGCAACTCATTTATCAAGAAGACCATGAGTAACCATGACACATGCTCAACTGTGATGGTCCCCAGAGCAGGGTCTTCCTTGGAAGCTCTCAGGTGCTTTTAGATTGGTCCTACTTGCTAGGCAAAAAAGATGGCTATAGAAATGACAAGCACCATGTCTACCTAGACTCTCCTGAAAGCCTTCTGAAGAGTCCTTTCTCTACAAGCTGACACCCAATGTCTCTTCTTTCTGGCCTCTACCTGGGTATCTTCTATGCTGTTACATGGTGCTTGGCCATTATCAGCCTGGACACCCTTAAGCTGCCCTCTAATCTGGAGCTACCCCATAACCATGTACAAAGCTCTCAGGGGATAGGTTCTGACTTAATTCATATTTTATCTCAGCCCAAATGGTGACTTATGTCCAGCCTAAAGTGAACCATGATTTATGCCCAACTGTCTTGAGATAGCAGACTGAGCCTAGCCTAAAATTATTTCCAAGTTTGCCTGTATTATTTACTAATACTTTACATATACATGTCTTCTGATCTCAACATGCTCTTCTCTCTGTGCGTGCATGCCTCCCTCCTTCCTTCTCCTCTTCCTCTTCCAAGAACACTTCTGAGACAAACAGTGACATCCTGATAGCCCTGCTTTAGGGAAGACAGGATTCTATCCAATAGCAAGATTCTTAAAAAGGAAAGCAGAAAGCTGAAGATACAGCTCAGCTGGCAGATGCTTGCACAGTGTTCAGGAAACCCTGATTCTCAGCACTGCATAAACCAGACACTGGGGTACACATCTGGTATGGTATTTCAAAGAAAACGGCCCAAAAGGGAGTGGCACTATTAGGAAGTGTGGCTTTGTTGGAATAGATGGGGTCTTGTTGGAGGAAGTGTGTCACTGGGAAGGTGAGCTTTGAGGTCTCATATATGCTCAAGCTACATCCAGTGTGGCAGACCACTTCTTGTTGCCTGCAAGTCAAGATGTAAGAACCTTCAGCTCCTTCTCTAGCACCATGTCTACCTGCATGCTGCCTTGCTTCCTGCCATGATGATAATGGACTAAGCCTCTGAAGCTGTAAGCCAGCTACCCCAATTAAATGTTTTCCTTTATAAGAGTTGTCATGGTCATGGTGTCTCTTCACAGCAACAGAAACCATAACTAAGACACCTGGCATTCCAGAACTCAGGAATTAGAGGTAGGAGGATTGGAAGTTTAAGGGCATCCCTGGCTACATAGAGGTTGAAAGTCAGCCTGAGCTACATGAGACCCTATCTCAAAAAACAAAACACAAAATGATCATCTGTGTGAGGAGTAGCCAGATTCTTGGGTGAGAACTTGTCTGCCTGACTCCTTTAGTGCTCTTTCCTCTAAAAAGGGCTTCTCACATGCAGGAGTCCCATGAAGGCCACCATCCCTAACAGAAGACCCATGTACAGGAAAGATGATGGTAGGAGGCATAAGGGGTCTGGAAAGCCAGAGAAGAGCCTTGAGCCAGTGTTTCAGACTAGATGGATTGCCAAAACCAACAGCAAGAGATGAGTGGGCATGCAGGGCAAAGCCTGGGAAGCCAGGAAGCTGAGACCCAAGCATGGAGGAGCCCTAGTACACTCGACGAGCAGCAGACAGGCGCAGGCAAGACCTCCGCAGCCACCCTCTCAGGAGGAGGATCATCATGGCCCTAAAAGTTGATGGGGGCCCTGGTGCCCAACCCTTCTTGAGAGCTTCCAGGATAAGTGGAAGCCCTCCAGCAGCAGTGCCCACCTCTCCATCCTCCCACAGCCGGATGTGTCTAGGGCCTGTGGCTTTTCTGCTTTTAGAAAACTAAGAAGTTTACCAGAGGAGTGGCTTCTGTGAAGTCCATCAGCAGGTCACCTGGCCCCAAGGTAAAGGTGCCTCCATGGTCAGAGGGGCTCTGCAAAGGCAGGCAGAAATATCCCCCGTTAGTGATACCCTGAGCGGGTGACAGAGCTCTCGAAAAGAGAGCTACACTTCTCTAACAATGAGCTGCTCGGTGCGCAACTTCTCCCACCAACATTCTCCTCCCTCAGCCGTGTACAAGATAGCCAGGCTGAAACCCAACTTTTCCCCAAAATCTTCATGGGTAGAAATAGGGTAAGGTGTGGGATCTGGCCTGTTTAAAGCTACAAACCGTATTTCTTAAGGGCTTTGAGTCTTTTTTTTTTAACTGTTTTTTTGGGAAATGCTTTAAAGAGTCTGTAGAATATATAAATAGAACAAAGAAGCCATCCCTCAGGGAGTTGGGAGACCTGGAGGAGCAGGTTGACCAGCAGCAACCACAGGGAGGAAGCGTGAGGAGTGCTGAAGGCTGCTCAGGACAATGCTTTGTCCTGCTCTGGGGTCTTAGCTGCACAGGTAGATAGATTCCAGGCCCTTTGAGGGTGTGCAAAAACACAACTCATAGCCCATCCATTTGACATAAGGGCCCTAAAATAGAGATGGCCAGGAGAGGGAGCCCTAGAGCTTTTGGGAGAATGTGGCTGTTCCTTAGTGCTTATTCTCTGTAATAAAACCGTCAGCCTGGTTTTTAACTGGCTATGGGATACATTAAAGGAACCTGTCTCCCACTTGGAAAACTAAGAAGAGTCCTGATTCCAGGTAGTAAAGCTAGTATGGCAGCTGACACCTCTAATCCTAGAACTTGGAAGGCTAGGGCAGAAGATTCCCATGAATTCAAGGCCATCTTGAGCTACAGAGTAAATACCAGGCCAGTCAGGTAAGTAGCAAAACTCTACCTCAAACAAAGCAAAAGATGCCAGGATTCCTTCTATAAAATGCCAGAGAGCCTCAGTCTGCACCAGTCAACACTGAGGGGTTCAGTCATATCCTTGCGTCTATTTTAGACATATATGAGGAAAGGACCTTGGGAAAGATGGATCTTGTTTATATGTATGTATGCCTGGAACATGGTTGTTTATATGTTGCCAAGAATCGTGACCCTGGAGGTACATAAGCCTCAGGGATCCAGTGGCTGTCCTGAGGCCCAGTGAGGTTTCCGTGCTCATCTGAGCATTGGTGCTGATCTCACCTTCAGGAGGAGGAGCTAAGGCTCAAGGAATACGGATGGGCTTTGGAAGAGACTGTCCTTTTGGGAACTATCGCTGGCATGTAAGTTGGGGAGCTGGAGCTCCCATCTCGCTGTCAGGGCACCTGCTCCCTGTACACGCCTATCCTTGGCAAGTTGCATGGACCACAGCCATCTTTGGCTCAGCATGTACTTGGACAGGAACAGGTTCAGTTTATTTGAACCAACTGCCAACGAGTGACCGATGACGGAGTCTCCCGGAGAACATTTCATGAAAGGGTTCTCAACAGCATTCATGTGTGCGATTTCCTGAAATTTCCCACAACTTTGGGGGAGTCAGTGCTCTCCTCACACCGGGTCACCAGACTTGGTGCCAAGCACCTTTAGTTCCTGGGCCATTTCACTGGTCCTTAAAATAAAACTTTATTTGTTTGTTGTTTGTTTGTTTGTTTTCAGGACAGGGTCTCACTATGTAGATCTGGATGACTGTCCTGGAACTCACTAAGGAGACCAGGTTGGCCTTGAACTCACAGAGATCCTGTTTCAGTTTACAGAATGCTGAGACTAAAGATTTATGCCTCCATACCTGACTTTAAAGCCATCCAGGGCTACAGAGTGATATAAAATATTACCCCTAAGAATCTCTTAAATATTCCCTAAAGCACAGGGCATACTTTTAGTCTTATATCATAAAATGTCTCTCTTAAATGGTTGCCATATTTCTTTTTAAAATTAATTAGGGTTTTTTGTTTCTTTGCTTTTTGGTTTTTCGAGATAGTTTCTCTGTGTAGCGTTAGCTGTCCTGGAATTTGCTCTGTAGGCCAGGCTGGCCTCAGACTCACAAAGATCTGCCTGCCTCTGCCTCCAAAGTGCTGGGACTAAAAGCAGGTGCCACCACTGCCCAGCTAATTAGTTTATTTTTAAGACAAATTTTTACTATAGCCTTTTATATATAGCCTTGGCTGTCCTGGAACTCACTTTATAGACCAGGCTGGCCTCGAACTCACAGAGATCCACCTGCCTCTGCCTCCCCATCTCTGCCCTTTTATTTTTAATTATCAATTCTTTTGTCCTGGAACTAACCTTAATCTTATCATTTTAAACTGGCTTTGCCTTTTTAAAGACAGGTGTCACATTAGCCTCAAACTCACTATATAGTAGAGCTTGACCTGGAATTTCTTTTGCATCTTGCCTTCACCTATGGGTATGTGCCACTGTGCCTGGTCTACCTGTGCTGGGGATCAAATACATGGTTTTGAATTAAACCATCAGTCTCATTTTACTGTTTTTGAACGCATGCATGCATGCATGCAACTCATTATGCACAATTTCAATGCTCAAGCTGCTATTGACTAAGTGTGTATTATGCCTCAGGGCTCTTTCCCATACCTTGGCCCCTGGGGACAGTGGGCTCTTGACTTCCGACTTCTGAGGCGAGGTGACTTTCTGGATTTGGGGGGATGCCAGGGGCACTGAGACTTGAGTGGCAGACATCGTGGTGTTTGTGGTTGTGACTGTGGTGGTTCCCACTGCCTCGGCCAGGTCTGGAGGGAGGTCATCTTCATCACTGCGGTTACTAAAAGCACATGAAGCTCTGCTCATTACAATAATACACAGGCTGTGAGGGGTTCAGCGAGGGGAGGGAAGGCCAAAGTGGGAGGACATGGCTCTCCAAATCGATGCCCACTCAATGTCCAACTTGCAAGATCCAAGACCAAAAGCGTGTGTGTGTGTGTGTGTGTGTGTGTGTGTGTGTGTGTGTGTGTGATTGTGGGAAACCATACATAACATGGTATTTATCATTTTAAGCACTTATAAACAAACAGTTCCATGTCATGATATACATTCACACCTGTGTAGCCAGCCCACTACATATTCCTCAACCTTGTTCCTGTCTCCACGAGCTTGCCTACTCCTGAACACGCGTGGAAGCTTTCAAAGTCCAACAATACTGTGGTACACATCAAAATGCCTTGCCTTTTATGTTGAGAAATGCCCTCATTGCGTGGCCAGATACTATTTTCTGAGCTGTGTATCTGCTAGAAGACACTTGGCTGGGCATGTGTGTCACAGTAAGTCAAAGTAGAGGAAAAGGTGTGCACTATGGACTCCACTTCTGCGAGGCGGCAGCAATCAGGCTCAGGAACCCTCTTTTTAGCCCTGTTTTTTGTTTTAATCTTTTAAGATTTTTTTATTACTTGTTTGGGCCCATTGTTATTGACTCTATTCCATCTTGACTTAAGGTCACAAAGTTCAAACCTATTCTTGCTCCTCAAGGTTAAACAACAAGATGTTTGGCCAAAGGTGTGGCTACTGAATGTCTTGAACCTCAAAACCAAATAATAGGATGTTTGACTCAGGGCGTGGATACTAGATGTTTTGAGTATTAAGGAGGTAATAACGTTTGTTCCATTTGTTCCTTGTATCTTTGTAAGGAAGTATTTTGCCCTCCCCTTTTGCTTGGGGTATACAGGGCCACTAGTAACAAACTTGGAGTGTCTGCAGTATTTGCTGAGAGCCCTCCTGGCTCTATCTTCTTTCTCTTTCTTTTCTCAATCCGCACTCCCCTTTCCAGGCATGTTCAAACAGGTCAGCTGGTCCTGACAGTTAGTTATTATTTATTTCTATTGGTGTGTGTGTGTGTGTGTGTGTGTGTATGTGCATGTGCCCACGGAAGACAGAAGTATCAGATCCCCCAATAGCTGGAGTCACAGTCAGTTGTAAGCTACATGACATGGACACTGGTTCCTAAACTTCTGCAAGAACAGTTATGTACTCGAAGTCACTGAGCCATTGGTCTAGCCTGGTTTTTACCTTGTTTTTAAAGTCAGTCATACAGTGATACAGAGGTGTAGGGTGAATATTTTTTAACCTCATGTAAAAGCACTTTATCCCTAAAAGCAGAATCATGATTTGTTTTTACATTAAAAACCCACTTTGAAAAACATTTAGTTCATTTCTTATAGTAGGAAGTCAACCCAGAATGCCTAAAATAGGAAAAGCTCCAATGTTTTCTTTCTAAAAGAAGATTTATTTTTTATTTCTGTGTATGTGTGTGCACCATGTGTATGCAGGTTCAAGCAGTGGCTAGCAGAGGGAATCAGATGCCCCTTGAGCTGGAATGACAGGCAATAGAGAGCCATCTGAATGGGAATTCACTGAGAAAGTACCGAGTACAGATAAACACATAGACAGACAGACAGACAGACAGCCTTTTGTTCTAGAACTTATAGCAGAGAAAACATATTTAAAATTCAGTAGGTCTCCAATTTCAGTTTCTGAGGTAATTCATGGTAAATTCATAAAACAATGTTGCTTTATGAATGCAGCCCAGGCTAGCTCAGAATCCTGACCCTCCCACTGTTCCCTTCCGCGTACCAGGGTTACAGTCATGTGTCACCACCCCTGGCTTTCAGAACACTTTAACAAGTTTCTGTGGAGAAGCTCTTTGCCTTGAGATGAAAAAGTTGGCTTTTTGTCTCTTTACAATAGCCAATTTGGTGATTAAGTGAAATTTTCTTTCTTTCCAGGCAACCTATAGTTAGTCATGATTTAATATGACTACCTATCCCAAATTTTGAATTTTGAAATGTGAAAGACAAACCCTGCCAACCTTGCCCTGGGGGAAGATTTTCCATGGTTTAATTTGTTCCCCAGAGGTCATTAGAGCTGTTAATTATCCGAGTTCTAGCCACTCTGGCTCTCCTAGAAACATTGCTGCTATATGCCCCCAAGTTTCCATCAGGGCTGGTGAGGTGGCATGTGGCTACTCTTAAGACCCCTTGAACGTGCCCCTTTACCTTCCCACAAGCAGCTAATGGCACATCTCTGCTGGCTGTTTGGGGATCACCTCTGGCACTACACTCCAACTTCCCTCTGCATCCTGAATCCCTACAGGTTTTCTCAGAAGCACAGTCTTTGGCCAGACCCCTCAAGAAATCCCTTAGAGATGGGTATGAGCTACTTTAGAGGAAGGAAAAGCATTTGTAGTCCTGGTGCCACGGACCTGTAACCCCAGCTGCTCAGGTCACTGAGGCAGGAAGATCAGAAGTTCAAAGTCTGCCTGGGCAATGTAAGGAGACCTGTCTCAAAACAAAATGTGAAAAATGGACTAGAGATGTAGCTCCATGGTAAGCACCTGCTTTGCACTGGCAAGGTCTCCAACACTGTGAAAGAAAGGAATGGAAGAACAGAAAAAGTGAGAAAAGGGGACTCAAGAGATGGCTCAGTGTTAAAGCATTTGCAGTTCAAACCTGAGGACCAGATCTCTAGAACCCACATAAATGTTGGGTGGGCCTGGTGGGCTGCCTGTAATCCCAGCCTCCGAAAGCATAGACAGGGGCCCCAGAGCATGCTGGTTAGTGACTAACCATGTCAGTGAGCTTTGGCTTTGACTGAGAGACTTGCCTCCATGAATAGTGTGGATTCCTGATATCAACCTCTGTCCCCTAAATGCATGCACACACAAGTGCATATGCACACATGTGTGCCCACAGACATGCAAACATGCATGTACACACACACCACACATGAAAATGGAAAAGAAAGAAAGGTTCATTCACAGTGTTCATTTCTTAGGATCCCAGAGCTACAAATGCGCCTGGACGTCATCTGAAACCTCTGAAGCCCTAGACTGCCCACGTGTTCCATTGTGCCTGGAGATCCCTTTGCAGCTCTCTGATAAACGTCACACCGAAGTGTAGTGCCTGAGCCACAGCCAGGGCCAAAAATAGGTATGTCATTGCTGTCAGTACTCTAACCAGTGGTTGAGCCCACTGAGCCCACCTGCCCTTCTTCCAGACCTCACCTGTGTTGTTTGGGCTGTCATTCACAAGTCTGTCTGCCTCCAGTACATTATCAGACTACAAGGTGAGATGGAAGATGGGGACTGTCACAGCCACTTTGCTGTGACTGGAACAGCAGCCCAGAGATTTTCGTTGGATTAAGTGGAAGAAAACTGGGGGGGGGGCTTGACATCACATGTAGCTCCATGCATCTCTCGGGCTCTGTTGCCCGATCATGTTAAGTACTTTACTATCAAGCCATGGGGTGCAGAGGCAGCTGGTCCTATGGCCTCTGGTGGTTCGTGTCTTAGTAATCATTCACCCACGCAATCCTCCTCTAGAGTGTGAGCTGGGCCTAGCAACATGTTTCCAATAAACAGAACATGGCAAAAACAACAGGACGTCTTTTCTGCGATGAGGCTATACAAGACTAACCTACACCTTGCTGGTATTCTCTCTCACATGCTCTCAGACAGAGAAACCTTACAGGACTGTAGGCTTAGGGTAACCTGGATCCAACAACCCCCTTGGCTGTGGGTTCTGATAGCAACCGCATAAAGAAGCCTTCAAAGGTGACCGAGGCCCCAGGGGACAAGTTGTAGCCTTGTGGGAGACCCCAACAGAGAAGCCCGGAGAGGCTGTGCCAGACTCCCAAACCTCTGTGAGGTGGTAACAAGTCTGGATGCTGGGAAGAGTTTACTAAGCCATAGCCAGTGAGGACAAGTGTGCCCACTGTGTGACGTTTTCATGGAGAAAACTCTGGTGCCATCACAACCTAAATGGGGATTAGATGGAGCCTGGGGCAGGGTTGTCACTAAACGTTCATGTATAATGGGGGTAGACAAACGCAGAACTCACAAACTGTACTGCCTTGTTAACTTCCTCACTCTGGGAGGCTTGATTTCTGGCTTCTCCATAGCTGGCTGGGCTGTTTCCACACGTATAGGAATAGGGCTTCTAGAGACATAGCAAAAACAAAAACAAAACAATGACAAAAACGTTAGTGTTCTTGTATTAGCTTCTGGACTGCTTCTCAGTTAATAGACAGCTTACTGATTCTCATGGTCCAGAAATCCAATTACTCTTGACTTTCTGTTCTATTTAATAATTGACATTATATTACAAATGCAGAATACTCCAAAATCAAATAAACAAGAAAAAGTATAGAGATGAGACTGTAGCAAGTAGGGAACTAAAAGTAACTGGCTTGCCTCAAAATCTCCCTATCTTAATATGAGGGTTTGGTTTATAGCCAGGTCTTGCTGTGAAATGAATGCAGAAAAATCCATGGCTAACACAGCTTTAGATCTCAGTGTCTGGCAGCCATGACACTTAGTCTAATAGTCCACAAGGGCTATAACTGTAGTATAGAAGGAAGCTACAGTGAACAGTAAATAATATATCCACAGTATATTTTAAGTGAAAATGTTTAATCAGAAGAACCTTAGGACTGTTTCTAAATATTTTAATACTATGTATATGAGAAAATGCTTTTTGTTGTTTGTTTGCTTATTTTTTTTTTTTTAAGAGATGGCTCAATGGCTAAGAATGCTTACTGCTCTTCCAAAGGAACTAAGTTCGATTCCCAGCACCCATGCTGGGTGTCTCACGGCTACCCATAATGCCTCCAGAAGATATGATGCTCTGTCTTCTAGCCTCTCAGGGCACTGATGGGGGATGTCCTTCTCTATATATGTTTCTCTTATTGGTTGATGAGTAAAACACTGATTGGCCAGTAGCCAGGCAGGAAGCATAGAAAGGGCTACCAGACAAGGAAGAATTCTGGGGAGATGAGAGAGAGAGAGAGAGAGAGAGAGAGAGAGAGAGAGAGAGAGAGAGAGAGAGAAGCCAACAGAGAGATGCCATGTAGAGGTAGGGAAGATAGGATGCCGGACGTTCTCTGGTAAGATAAGACCATGTAGAAATACACAGATAAATAGTTATAGATTAATAATTAAGAGAGGGGTAGCCAATAAGAAGCCTGAGCCATTGGCCAAACAGTTTCTAATTAATAAAAGTGTGTTTATTTGGGACAAAGTGGTTGTGGGACCAGGCGGGATGGAAACTATGTCTACAAGGCACCTATATACACATTAATAAAAGTAAAAATATATTAAATTTCCCTTTTACTTTTTCCTCAAACATTTATGACAACCTAATGAATCATTTGAAAACCGACTTTAATCACATACCACTCATATATTATCTGTGTATGTACAAGCGTATGTATATAACATACAGAAGCTGGAGAACAGATAGCATGTAAGAGTCATTTCTCCTCTATCATGTGAGTCTGAGCATTAAACTGAAGTTGTAAGGCTTGACAGGGGGCCTTTAAATCATTTAAACCATCTCCTTAGCCCCCAAACAGTGATATTAAGAAAAGTCTTTAATATACTCTTATGGCCATAACTAATTTCATATTTTTTTTAAAAAAACAGTAATTACCTCCTAACACCAAAGAGGCATGGAAACAAGTTGAGGCCCTGAGCAAGTCAATGGACACTTCTGCACTTCCATTCTCTCTTCTATTCATCACCTACTTATGTGGTAAGGATGCAACGCAAGCCTAATAAATGCTCACTGAATAAACACAGGAAAGAATGAATAAGGAATTTGAGTCAATGTGCTGAATTCATGGTTCCCTAGGCCAGAACTGCAGGGTATCTGCACATGGTCCCTGAAATGACCCTATTTCCTGGGTTCTCAGCAAGATGCAGGGAAGACCACCAGTATAAGAGACAGAGTGGAGGTCTGGCTGAATGCCAGGTTCCATCCCTACCAGCCTGACATAGAAGAGTTCCCATGGGCAGGGTGAAGGGTTAGGACCAGAAGGAAAGCAGGGAGGGACCTGTCAGGAGGAAACTCAGGGTGAGTTTACTATGAAGGCCATGACAATCACTAAAGGTTTTAGTCTGAGATGCGACATTATCAGGCTTGCACTGCAAAAACGTCCTCAGAGCCATGAAGAGTGTACTGGTAGGAGAGCCAAGGTATTAATGATGAAGAATAAAAGACAACGAGGGGTATGGAAGTGTTGTGGAATTTTGTATGCTGTGTGAAGATGTGTTGCTGTGCTTGATATAATAAAAAGCTGAACAGTCAATAGCTAGGCAGGAGAGATAGGCGGGACTTCCTGGCAGGGAGAGGAAGAGGGGAACACTATCAATATGTGGAATGAGTTGGATACACAGAACGGGAGAGAGGTAAAGGCCACGTAGTAGAAAGTAGATTAATAAAAATATGGGTTAAGTTATAAGAGCTAGTGGAAAAACTCCTAAGCTAAGACCAAGATTTCATCATTAATAATAAGTCTCCAAGTCATTATTTGGAGGGCTGGCATCCAAAGATAGTCAGACAACAAAGCTTGCTATAGGAAAGGGCAGGATTATGTTCCTGGACATGTTTTTGGAGATAATACAAAACTCAAATTAATGCATCGTGATGACTAATTAGACAAGGGGATGAAGTGGGTGGGTGGGTATCAGGACTCTTGAGCTTCAAGCTTGGGTAGGAAATAGATAATAATGTTGTTCTCCAAGCCTGAAGACAGGTGAAGGAAGGAGGGAGGACAGGGTAGGGAGAAAAGGCTTTTGTTTGGTTGGTTTGCTTTTTCCAGTGTTGGGGATGGAACTCAGACCCTTGTATATGATAGAAAAGAATTCTCCAACTCAGCTGCCACCCCCCCCCCCCGCCAGCCTGAATTAAGTCCCCGCAAAGTCCAGGAGGGAATGCATCCCTTAAAGATGACAAACTTGAACAAACTTGGATAAGAATACAGACTGCCACTCACAAGACAACATAGATGAATGTTAGCTTTTGCTCTGAGCATCAAGTATAACAATTCCCTATGACACCCAGACATTCACTGAAATGCTTTTCCTGTCCCTGCCACCACTCCTACTCCCTTCCACCAACACATAGATCTCGAGAACTGCAGTGGGACCCAGGAGTCTAGTGTTGTTCTGTTTATCCGTTTGTCTGTTTTATGTCACTGAGGATGGAAGCCAAGGCCTTTAGCACCCTAGGCAGGCTCTCTACTGAGTTAACCTCCCCAGCCAGACCTGGGATTTTCAATAAGAGACTGCTGTGCATTTGAGGAGCACCCAAGGAAGCCCTCTGAAGAGCAGGTGATGATGGACCACATAGAAGGCGAAAGGACTGCCGTGATGACAGATTGTCAGTCACTTGGGCTGAGAGGGGGGGGACTTCCCCTGGGGCATGGGATGGAGAGCATCAATGAACCCGTGTGGTTCCAGTTCTGATGATGCTCAGAAATGACAAGCCCAGGAAAGAGCAGTGAAGAGAAGCTACCGGAAAAGGCCCTCTTTCCTGTGTTACCAACACTCTCAAGAGCAGAGCTTTGTGAGCCTCTTTCTTGGAGGTCTACAAGGTCAGCTCTGCACACTCCAGAAGGTACTCAAGGGGGCTGCATTCCTCAACAGCACAACAGGCACCAATGTCAATCTGGAACTAAGCAATGCTCGCCAGGCTTAAAGGAGGTCTTTAAACTGGTTCCTTAGGGCCAGTTTGTTTTGTTTTCCCTCTCTGCTTTTGTCACCCAGTTTCCTCAGGAGCAATACTTCCAATATAACAGGAAGACACGGTATCATTTCCCCATTCAAACAAGAAGCAACAGACCTTACATTAGTGTCCTGGAGACTTGATTTTTTATTGATATTTACAAATGTGGGCTCCTCCTTTCCAATCTGTCAAAGAAAACAAGTTAGGCAAATGTTAACTTAGTTCGGCATATAAAAAAGCTTGCAGGTCCCATGCATCCAAAGGACTGCAAAGCTGGGAAGAACCATGGCGGTAATTCTCCAAGTGTCCCATCAACTGCAAACTTACTCTGTTTACATAGGAAGCAATTACGACAACAAAAAAGGATTCTTGAGTCATTCACACTAAGGACTGAGATGTGATCATTTAAATGCACTCAGTCCTTGCAGTCATACTTTTATTGAGCACTTGCTATGTGTCAGTTCCTGCCTGAATGAGAAAGGGGTGGTGTGGGAAAAAGCAATCCCTTACATCACTCTGTGTGTCAAGAACACGAATGGGCTCGAGTAGCATTTGCAGTCTCTGCTTTAAAAGGAACGTGGAATCCAGGGAACAGACCCGGAAGGAATGATGCCATTTGATTTTGATACAAGTCTGACCTTCCTCCCTCTGGTGAGTCCCTGAGAGTGACAAGGGAGGAAGGGACACCCACACAGCCAGCTGAATAGTGTGTACGACAGCAGTCAGTGGGGGGGATGCCCAGCCCACAGCCCTCATGCTCAGCCTCTGCTCTGATTAGGTGCTGAGCATAAATGCCAAGGGTACTTGGAGGGCACTGCCTTCTTAGCCTGCCACAGCTGCCCACGTGTGAATGCATCCCTGTCTCCTATCAGAGTCTTTTCCAGAGTCAGCACCAGTCAGCACCACGGGCTTCCTTTCCATATACCTGTGCTCTGCACTGACCCCAGGGGAAATTGGCGCTTAGCCCCACGAACTCTCAAACCACACACACCCAGGGATCCCTTTGGCAGGGTCTGGTGTTCCTGAGAACACTAGTTTTGTGGAAATCACAGGGAGCCATTTACAAAGTGGTCCATGCCCTTAGGGCGGTAGAAAATAAAGCATGCTCCTTTCCTGCCGGACTTCTTGGACTCTGTAAGAGGCTCATATGCTGCTGTGAAGGGTGTGGGAGGCTGTGCATCATTTCTAGAGTGATCAGTAAGCACCCTGCAGGGCTAAGGTTCCTGGAACTACTGCTCTCACACCTGCCTCTCCTCCACGGCTTTCAGCTCCTTCCGCTGTCTAGGTGGTTATGTTTCCCTTCTCTTTGGGTCTATTTCTCTCCTTTCACGCACTGTACACAATGAATTAATTTTTACATATATAGTACATCTTCACTGTAGCAGAAACCTGGATCCTCCACAGGGGATTGGTGCAGCGTGAGACCCCCGGGAACATGGCAGAGATATGCATACCGTCAACTTCGTAAGCTACCGTAAACACACACCGGTTTAATTTGCTTGGCGATAGTACAAAATGGCATACACGAAAACAGCAGGGGGAGTACAGTTAAGGCCAGCAGTCGTGACTGTAACTTCAAACAGCTGAGCTTTAAAAAATGTTTTTATGACACTTGTATGTGTGTGCGCTCGTGTGTGCACTTGCCCAGTACGCACATGGAGACCAAAGGACAACTTGGGGGAGCTAATGCGCTTCTTCTGCCATGCAGATGCTAGTGTCGTCAGGGTTGCCACTAAGTGGCTATTTCGCGGGAGCCACCCGGACAGTCCTGAAATCACTCAGTTTGAGGCCAGAAGTCAACCTGACTGTCCTGTAAAAAGTATCACTGCCATCACCTACAGCAGTCAGTGTCCCCAGCGATTCCCCAGGCTGTTTGTTGCTCCTATCTGTATCTCCATGAGATAATGTAAGATGCGGTATCCTTTAATCTCCACAGTTGCCTAGGGTGGTAGCTTTTGTTCTGTTTTATTGGGTTTCTTTAACTTGTGACTGTGTGAAATGTCCTAGTGTGTGGTGTATGTGCATGAGTGTGTACAGCTGTGAGGAGGCTAGAGAAGAGAGTCTTGCCCTCCTTAGTTACTGTCCACCTCTGAGGGTCTCTTACTGAACCTGAAGCTGGTGGCTTTACAACCAGGCTGGCACCAAGCAAGCCCCAGCAACCCTTCTGTGTCTATCCCAGTAAGTGCTGGGGTTACAGGCATGGATGGGATCACATCTGGTATGTATATGCTGGGGTTACAGAAGTTAGCAAACAAGTTTAAGGTCACATTACTAAGAAATAGATCACTACTCAAACCAGAGCCAGCTGTTGTCATCCTTAGGTGACCCCTAAAGGGTCAAATAACCTTTCACAGGGGTCATCTTAGACCATAGGAATACACAGATATTTACATTATGATTTATAACAGTAGCAAAATTACAGCTATGAAATAGCAATGAAGTAATGAAGTCATTGCATGGTTGGGGGTCCCCGTGACATGAGAAACTGTATTGAAGGTCCCAGCATTAGGAAAGTTGAGAAGTACTGAACCAGACCATCTGGCTTTCCAACACATAGTCTATGCTATCCTGCTTCCTGTTTACGTGACAGCCTCCAAGTGGAAGAAAGCCTATAAGCTTGCCCTTGTTTCTCATGGCATTTTCTGGGAGGATTTAAATCATATAGCCTGTTACTGTGCAAACAGCAATGAAGACATTGCTGAATACTAACTCTTGGCAATGTAAGTAAAGATAGTAGGTTCATTAGGCCTGCCTATTCTTACATATTGTTCTCATGAGCTTTTGGACAACTTACCTTTTTTTGAATTGCTCTTTTTACTGTGTGTGTGTGTATGCATGTGTGTGTGTGTGTGTGTGTGTGTGTGTATGCACGTGCGTGTGTGTGATATATGCAGGGACATGCTTGTTATGGTTCATGTGTGGAAGTCAGAGGACAACTTGAGGAAGTTGGCTCTCTTATTCAACCATATGGATCCCAGGAATTGAACTCAAGACCTTCTGGGGGTGGTGGCAAGCACCTTTAGCCATTGAGACATCTTGTCAGCCCACCATAGTTTTTTATATTCTGTTTTCAGCGCACGGATAGCCAATGGGTTTCTCCTTGAATGTCAACTGTGACTTAGAACCCTCATTTAGGGTGGCAGAAAAAGTATAATTAGTGGTCACTGTGGAGCCAGTGATCTGTGCTATAATTCTATGGCGGTTATTACACTATCCTCTCTCATCTCCAAATTCACCCTTCCATCTTGGACCTGGGCTGAGAAGCAGCAAATTTTTCTTTGCCAACAGGGGGCGCGAGAGAAGGAATTCACAGCTTCCTGTTCTGGATTACCCCAACCTGGCCACTCTGGTGCCCAATTCCTCTTTAGGAATACCAAAATCCCCATCCACATCCCCCACCCCGCCTCCTCGTCGCATGGGACCAAGCCACAAGTAGCTCATAAAGTTAGATACCAGAGCAGGCCACGGGACCTGAGCTCAGAAGTCTAAGTTTCACTCGCGTGGGCCGCTTCCTCTAGACACTTAAATGTCCATGTTCTCAGAACATTTGTTCCCCAAGCTGTCGGGATGGAAAGTGCTTCCTGAAGTCGCCACCTCCAGTCCCTTGGAGTAGTGTGACTCAAAGTGCAGTTCAGAGAGCTAGTTCCGAAACATGCAGATCACTAGCCCCCTCACTGACTAACTGAGCCCTCCAGAATAGGATGCAGCTCTGCTGAGGGCCTTATGCAACTAGCATGTAAGAACTGCTTTTTCCCATTTCTCTGTCTTCCATTTGCTTGCATAAATAATAGCCACACTGGTTAGGAATTCTTTGCATGAAAACCCAGGCTTCCTAGAGCCAGTGAGACAGCTCAGCAGGTCAAAGTGCCTGCTATGAAGCCTAACAACCAGAGTTCAAACCTCAGGACCCACGTAGTGGAAGATGAGAACTGACTCCCGCAAGCAGTCTCTGATCTCAGCCAGCACTCCATGGCATGGTCCTCTGCACCTCTCCTCACAAAGAAATTAAAAACACAGTAACATCTAGGCTCCCATGCCAAGAGGTGGCTCCTGTCTCCATACTGGCCCTTGACTGGCCATTGTCCTCCTGTGTGGCACCGAGGAAATCCTGAAACATGACACTGAAGGAGCAGCCACCCCGCCCGCGTACCTGGGCATTCACACGGGAGGCATTCTCCAGCTGTGCTTTCAAAATGTTACACTTCACGTGATCTGCCACCGGCGATGGCAGCAGCGGGGTCTGAAGGGTCTTCTCGGAAACTTTCTTTTCCTCGGCCTGAGATAAAGCAGATGGTAGACTGTGAACAAGCAGAGAAGAAAACACACTCTAACTTTCCCCCAACAACCCCAACAGCAAATAACACAGGGATCTAAGAATGTATGTGTGTGTATGTGTCCTGACACACTTCCATTTGAGCTGTTGCTTTCCAATGCAGAGGTTTCCCACTTTTGTCTACTGAGCAGGGTAATGGACATATCAGGCATCATGGTGAAGGTTCAAGACAGGAATGGGCCCTCCAGTATGAAGCAGCCACAGCACCTCCTCCCTAGCCCAGCCTGGAGCTATATCCCCTCAAGCTGCTCAAACTCTGAGATAGCAACACACAAGTCTATAATCTGCAGGGTCAAGGAAAAGAGCACAAAATACTTGCTGGTTATTTGTTCAGTAAATCTTCCTGGAAGCCATGTCTCTCAGTAAGAAATTTAAATATCTGTTACTTAATTAATTAATTTATATGCAGCAGGTGTGACCAGGGCCTCATGCTCTATCATGGAGCCACACTGCCAACCCCTGCCTCACATTAGCGGACTTCAGGAATTTGCTACTAATTTCACAACTTCTGCCATCTCCCAAGCGCTAAGTGAATATGTCCCTAAAGTTCATGTGACTCAATTAAGGTGGATTACTTGGGACTGCATTTATTTATACTTGAATCATGTTCAAAGAATAATATCTTTGAAATCAAAAGGCGTTATAACTATTATTGTAGTAGACATGGTATTTACACAGTGATTAAAATAAAATTTATTCATCCCTGTGCGTAGGCCTGAAATATCTTGGATGGTAGACATGCCACTTTGGGGAAATAATATCTAATTGCTCACCATACTGTAGGTCATGGTCATTGCACGTCTCAGCACAATATAGTGCTTGACCCAGACTGAGTCTCCAACAAATACCTTCTATAGACAATTATGGTGACACACACTTATTATCAAAAGAGATATGTGCTTAATAAGAGATGCACAAGACCTCATGGTTGCGAATGCCACCTCAGCTGTCTCAGGAGGTACTGTGGCAAGTCAGCCACCACACACCAAGGCAAGAAGGAAATATTCTAAAGTTCTCAACTTCCTCAAGTCCTGAAATTATTATTCTCTAAATCAAACGCCTCACTGAGGTTAGGCATAGTGGCACTTGTTTACGACCTCAGCACTCAGGGGGTGGACACAGGAAGATGATGAGTTCAAAGTGAGCCTTGGGCCACATACTGAAAGCCGGCTTCAGAAAAACCAGAAGTCCCATTGGTCATCTTGGTATCTATTGTAGGAATATTATGAAAGTCACAGAGGAAGTGCGGGGCAAGTAGGTAACTAATGTATTTAATAAAGAAATAGGGCGTGGAATCCAGGAAGGAACCAAAGGAACTGCCCATTAAGCAAGAGAAGTACTTGGGAGAGAAGAGACATCAGTAATGCTACTGAGTACTGGACAAAGGCAGGTGTTCCAAAATAAAATCTCAGTGGTGTTTCTCTATAGGGTACAATCAAAAGATAGAGTATGATGACAATGATGGTAATGACCATGATGATGATGGTGACAACCATGATGAATGACGATGATGATAATAATGACCACAATGATGATGACGATGACAGCAATAATGGTAATGATAGAGAAAGATGCCAGTAGCTGATGTGTACTAAGAACTTTTCATGACCCAGCCATTGGCTACGTATTTCAAGTGCATGACTCACTGGAGTCTCATCTTTCCATCCTATTTGGAGGTAGGCATCTTTTAAATGTTTCTCTTGAAGTCTTTATTCACTTAGTGTGTGGGGGTGAGGAGCAGACAGAGACAACTTTGGAGAGTCAGGTCTCTCCTTCCATCATGTGGTACCCAGATATTGAATGTAGGCTTGGCAGCAGTGTCTTCCATGCCCAGCCATCTTGCTAAGCCACTTTTGCTAGCTTCTCTTGCTGGTACCTTCGTCATCTCTACTTTAGCAGACTTTGGGCTGGCTCTACGGTTTGGCAGGGCACAAGGTTCAATCCCACACTCTTGTCCACCAAAAGGGAAAGATTCACATGATCAGAAGAGAAAATAGAAAGCATTTTCCCCATTTTGTGGATGAGAAGAAACAAAGCCGGGCCACAGACAACTACTTGCTCGGGACCATACAGAGGATCCAAGGGCCAGGAATGAAGGGTCTGATGAAGTTCAAAGCCTGAACTCTCAACCACGCTAGCTTCCCTAGCTCTCTGCAGTCATCTCCCCCTTTGTAAGAGCTTTAAGATGCTCAAATAAGAAAAAAAAATACAAATGGCTTTTTCATTCTAGATTCTATAGTTAGAAAAGAAAATACAGCAAGGTATGCCTGGAAAATGAGGGCAGTAATGATACTAAACTATATCATGCTAGGCTTAGGGAAATGTCACATGACATGGGATTCATTATCCCAAGGGATGGCGCATCCTCCTTTAGGGGCATAGTAACTTACATATAACTTATTATCTTGAAGGTTTACAGTGTGGGTTTAGGGTAATTTATTTTGTGTTTATAAATCCAGTTACATTAAGATATTTATTTCATACTTGAATGGATTTTTCATAGATTCATTTGGAGTTTATTTTAATTTGGGGGTGGCATGTTGGCAAACAGGAATTTAATTAGTTAGGAGCCCATTGGAAGGTTTTGACAATGGCTTATGGGGAAGTGGTTATACAGAGAGTAATGAAGACCTACTTAAAATAATGGAATGCTATTAAAATAAGAAAAGAATTCAGCATGGATTCCCCCCCCCTTAAATTTAGCCAACCTAAACCAATGCTTTGGACACACAAGTCAAGCTAGCTGGCTTCTGTCCCAGATGGACAGAGCCAAGAGCAGTACTGCTCAGTTAAATGAATCACCTTCACTGAAGACCAACATGAAATTTGCCAAGTTTGTGCATCTTTCCGTGAACTGTTTTACGTAAAAGGCATCTCCAGTGCTAGGGGCAGGGAAACGGATTGCTCCTTCTGTAAAGTACTGGCCTCACAAGTGAGAGGGCCTGGAGTGGGCGCATTCTGTTATCTCACTGATGACAGGACCAGTGTAGTGGCTGACCTGGCCTGTGTAGTGAAGATCCAGGTCGCTGAGAAATTCAGTCTCTAATGAAGACAGAAGCTAGCTGCCTGAGGGCCAACACACAGGTTGACCTCTGACCACCACACACTCACACATCCACACCCACACACGCACCCCACACCTGCCTGCACACATACAGAGGTTGCAAGCATGGCCCCAACACTTTTGTGTTGTTTGTTTTGTTTTTTTTTAATAGTCATATTTTATGTTCAATTTTCAACTGTGGAAAGAGACTATATTGTCCACTATGGCATTCAAGATTTCAAAACATACAAATAAATGACAATGGGGTATTGGTGTCATAGCTGCGAACAGGCCATCTGTTTGGTGGAAACAATAAGATGTGTATTTAAACTCTTGGGAAATCTGATGAGATTGAAATTTCTGCTGTCATTTGGGGTACCAGTTGGAAATAGGTAGGGGAAATAATTTAATTAAAAATAGGAAGTTACAAGCTGGAAGGTGGTGGCACATGTCTTTAATCCCAGCACTGGGGAGGCAAAGGCAAACATATCTCTGTAAGTTCAAGGTCAGCCTGGTCTACAAAGTAAGTTCCAGGACATGCTCAAAAGCTACACAGAGAATCCCTGTCTTGAAAAAACAAACCAAACCACACCAACCAACCAAACAAACAAAAAAAAAACCAAAACACAAAAAAAAAAAAAAAAAGGAAGAAAAAAAAAAAAAAAAAGAAAAAGAAAAAAGGAAGGAAGGAAGAATAGGAAGTTACTGGGGACTGGAGAGATGGCTCAGCAGTTAAGAGCACTGACTACTCTTCCAGAAGACCCAGGTTCAATTCCCAACACCACCCACATGGTGGCTCATAACTGTCTGAAATTCCAGTTCCAGGGAACCCAACAGTCTTACACAGGCAAAACACCAATGTCCATAAAAATAAAAACAAATAAATATTTTTAAAAATTATTTAAAAGAATAGGAAGTTACAAAAACCACAGCAGAACCAGAGGTGGTTCCATCCTTAAAGTGAGAAAAAGTTAGGTCATTCAATTCATTGGTTCCGTTTGAGTTGTCACGCTTCCCAAAGAGGTCTACTACAAGACATAGTTTTCTTTTAAAAATAAAATATTTTACTACATTTATTTACACGTGTATATACATAGCTGGGTGTGTATAGAGGTCAGAGAACAACTTGTGGAGTCAGTTCTCTCCTTTCACTAAGTTACAGGGACAGAACTCAAGTCACCAGGCTTGGGTGCAAGTGCCTTTACCGGCTAAGTCAGCTCACTGGCCCACAAAACACTCAATGCTAACGAGTCACATGGGAGTTTTAGGGGGTTGGAACTGGGGCTCACTCGGTAGAATGCTTGTCTAGTGTGCACAAACCCTTGGGTTTTATTTCCAACACCACATAAACTGGACATGGTGATCCATGTCTGCAAACGCAGCAATGGGGAGGTAGAGGAAGGGTGATCAGAGTTCAAGACCATCCTGGAGTAGAGAGTAAGTTCAAGGCCAACACCTTGGTAACATGATACACTTGTCTCAAAAATTTGTTTCCGCAAGCCAGTTGTGGTGGGTTGTTACCCCAGTACTGGTGAGTGGACACAAGATCTCTGGGGTTTGCTTGTCAGCCAGCCCAGTCTAATAGGCAAGTGTCAGGCCAGTGAGACACACTACCTCCAAATAAATTGGATAGGCCCTAATTGCAACAACCCAAGGTGGTTCTCTGGCCTACACACACACACACACACACACCTACCTGTACACATTCACATACAAAATACATATGCACAAAAATTAAAAGTAAAGATCAAAGAAACACATGGAGTGACACACTTCCACTGTGTGGGGACAGGGTCAGAGTGACCTGTATAACAATCCCTGAAGATCATGTGCCCACAGTGCTTCTTCCAATTTCCACTTGTGCTGAGGATTGAGGCCAGGGTCTTGTGCATGCTAAGCACATGCTCTCCCACTAAGCCCCACCCCTGTAGTGAGATATCCACCCCACCCACACCTGTTGCACTGACCATGCCCATTGGGGCATGGGAACAGGACTAAAATTGGAATGATACAGAGAAGATTAGCATGGCCCCTTTGCAAAGAGGTGTGGGTGGGATGGATATCTCACTACACAGCCCCACAGTGAACTTCTCTAAATGGGACGGAAAGGTGGGAAGGGGTAGCTTGAGCTATAGAGAAAAGATAGGCACTCTCCTCAGGGTCCTGGCGATTGAATGCTTGTGAGTTCTCTGCTGGGCAACATCTTTTGCAAAAAAGCTTAGATGCTGTGGAATTATGGGCAAGCCCCATTAAAACCTGTAACCATGTGCGCTGTGGAATAAGAGTTGAAACACAAGGAAAAGCAGAACTATCCAAGGGGAACAGGGTATGCTGGGTGCCACCTGGTACTGCCCGTAGCCCACCCATCAAGAAGGCAAGTGGGGCTCTGTCCCTGAGATAGACTGATCAGAAAGGGGAAAGCTCAGTGGAGAAGCTGGAAAGCCGGTGCAGTAAGTAAAGCACTTGTGCATATGTGAGGACCCAAGTTCAAGGCAAGAACCCATGGGAAAAGGCCAGGCATGGAGCTGGAGAGATGGCTTAGCAGTTGAGACAGCTTGCTGCTCTTATAGAGAATCAAAATTTAGTTCCCACATTAGCTATGGAACTCCAGCTCTAGGGGACCTAACACCTTCCTCCAGAGGCACACACGTATGTGCATATCAACATAGACACACACATATACATAAATTTTAAAAACTTTTTTTTAAAAAAAAAAAGCTGGGCATGGTGGTGCCTGATAGCAGCAGAGACAGGTAGGTACCCCAGGGGTGGGGCTTATGAGACCAGCTTAGTCTACTTGGTGAGTCTTGAGGCCAGCAATAGGTCCTGCCTGCAAAATAAAGGTGGATAGCACCTGAGGAGCAAAACCTGAAATTTTCCTCTGACCTCTAAAGATGAGTGCACACACACGTACACACACATATGCACCTGCATACGTGAGTGCATACATACACATGAGTATGTGTATATATACATACACATACACACCTGTACAAGCATGAGCATGCACACACATATGCACACACATGTGTACCTGCACACTCAGTGTGTGCATACACACATGTACACCTGCCCAAGCATGAACATAGACACACATGTGTACTTTCACACACAGGAACATGCACACAAGCACACACACACACACAAGAATGGAATGGAAACAGCTGAGGTTCATGCCCCTGCTTCGGGCCAGTGCCCTCCATGCAGAGCTGGCCTGGCACCTTGTTTATGTTGATGTGTAGGGCAGGCCAGGGTCCCGCAGTCTTCACCGTCTCCAGCTCCAGCTTCTTCAGATGGGCAGCTGCTTCGCTGTACAGGGCAGGTGCTCCTGGACTCAGTTCTACAGATAGCCATGGGAAAGGAAAGAGTGGGGGTTGAAATGACAGCTAGATACAGGGGCCAGAGACACCCGCAGGAGCCTGCCTCCCAGCTCCGCTTCTGCTCTTCCTGCTCGATGCCATACAAGAACATCTGATGTCAAGGTTTCACAACCTTCCTTGCTCAGACAGGAGCTGGGTGGCCCCGGGCACGTTGTTTGACCTCTGAGCCACTGAGCCATTTATAAATGAAAATAGAAATCACTTCTCTTGCAAAGTTGCTATGCAATTATTCCCATAAAAAAACCCTTGACATGCTGAAAAGATGGGTGTCCATAGCAAGGTACCTTGGAGAATCAAGTTATGTTTCTAAAATCAAAGGCACTGGCTCTTTGTATTGTGGTGCATTTGTTTGCTACCTCACCTCCCTCTAGCTTGGATTTATTCATTAATGCATTAAACATTTACTAAATATTAAATATTCATTATACAATAAAGCTTGTGCTTTATTGCTTGTTAGCAACTGGCATCTGGGGAGTTGAAATAAACAAATAAGACACAATTCTAGTGTAAGTGGTGGTGGGGATAGTACACATAAAAGCTCTACGAGCTTTCATCATGGCTATGGGCATAAGAGAGAAGACACCCACCACCACCATGCTCTGATGGTATGAGGGTATAGGGGATGCTGTGCTCAACATGTGAGCCGGCTCCTGGGGGATGTAGCGGCTTACTAGGGCAGAGAAAAACAGCTTTGCAGGGAAGAGCAGGCACAAATGAAGGGGTTTGGTTAAAGAACGGAAGTTCTGTGTAGCTGGAGTGTGTGAAGAGCGGGGGAGGCTGGAACTGCAGGGTGTGGCTCTGGAGGTCTGTATGTGACCTTGTTCAAAGTGTGGACTTATCCCGGGGCACTGAGGAACACAAGGTCTTAATGCGGACATTAGCAGCTTCTAGATGGGGACCGCTTTGGAGGAGGGGTCCTGTTAGGAGGCCATGGCAGTCACTTCCATGCAAAAGGATGAGGTGAACGCAGGCAAGGGCAGCCTGGGCTGTATTTGGATCCTTCTCCCCAAGTGGGTCAAGAGATACCACCTTCTATTCAGCTAAACTCAAATGACTCTTGTGGTCTGAAGATGAGGGCTGAGGAGCTCAGACTATCTCAACAGCTCTACAGTTGCATGCCGTGTCAGGCTAGAAGGTCCCTTGGCACTTACTGCATATCCTCTCCTGTTTTCAGAGGGGACTCCCTCTCTTTTCCACTTCTGGAGCCCAGGAACTGGTGCTGAGCATGACACAGGGGTAAGTCTAAGCTAGGAAGCAGGAAGGGATGGCCATCTGTACAAGTTGCAAACAGGAAACCACCGACGCTAGATGGCCCTGCCTCCAGGGATGAGGCTCTATAGACTATACTTTGCCCAAACCCGGTTGCCAAGGCTACACCACCATTCCTACCCACCACTGGCCCTCCCCATCCCACCCTGCTCCCTCCACATACTCACTGTTGAGGGCCTTGCTGGAGTTTGGGGACCTCAGTGGTCCCTCCTTATTCTCCAGGGGCAGCGAAAGGCCATAGTTGGAGTGGTGCTGGTTCTGGTGATGGTGTCTCCCTGAAGCTTTGGGGGCGAAAGGTGTGCCCCCATTCTCCTCGAGGCCAAAAGGCAGCCTTTCTGTGGGGCTGAGTGCTGGGGAGGAGATCGGGTAGCTGGGGCAGGGGATAAAGTCAGGATTTAGAATAACATAGCATTTTGCTAACACCTGAAACCCCAAGACCATGAGGCTCAACTAACAGACCCCTACCTAGATAGGTCATTGGGCCAAAACCTGTGCAAAGAAGATGAACAAAGTGAGAATTTGTATTAGCAATCTGACATCCTCAATCTTAAAAACGTCTTCATTTTGAAATAGAATAAAATAGGTTGCACTTTCAAAAAGCCATTTGCAGGGCTGGAGATAAGAGCACTGGCTAGTCTTGCAGAGGACCTGGGTTCAGTTCCTAGCACCCCCACAGCAGCTCACAAGCATTTGTAACTCCATTTCCAAAGGATCTGGTGCTTTCTTCTGGCCTTTACAGGCTCTGCATGCACACAACAGACACACACATAGGCAAAATGCTCATACACATAAAAATGCAAGATAAAAAAGAAAAACAATAAACAATGCTTAAATGATCCTGAGTTATAAACCAGAGTCTCTTCTCTCTCCATCCCACATTGGGAACGTCCTCCTTATGTCCCTGCCATTACCTTTCTTCTCAGGGGTGGCCTGTGAGCCAAGCAGGGCTGGCCAGAACCTCCCACAACGCTGTTTAGAGGGATTTGATCCAGATACACTCACTTGTTCCTAACTTTTAACAGCTGAAAGCTAAAAGACAGGTGCTCTCTTCCGGGTGGCTTACAACTGCCTCTAACTCAGCTCACTTTCTTCAACTAAATATTTTTGTTTCCCTGACTATAAAAGAAATTGAAACATTTTTAAGGGTACCATGTTCAAAGCGTACAATGAGTAAGTCAGTTCTGGCCATCAGGATATAAATTGAAGCTTCTTGTGGACATCTTTCCCAGACATAAAGTAGTTATATCCCTGAAAAGAAGCTGAAGCATGAAGGGAGAGAAGATGAGCAGAAGTCAAATGTAGGTGGAGTGGGGAAAAAAACTAGTAGTATAATTTGAAACTGCACCTAGATCCAGCTATACCTGAAGCTGGTACTACTGACAACTCTTCCTATAAGGTTCACAAAATGTATTGAACGGTTGACTGATTGAGGTAGTCTCTAATCTATGTCACATGATCTAAACCAGGACTCATTTACTGTTTTTGTGGGAGAAGGTAGACAGCTGTGGAATTTAAGAAGGGCAGAAGGAGCCATTACAGACCTAAGAAACAGTATGGGCAAAGGTCATACAAACAGGAAGGGCGGAGTATATGGAGAGAAGGGTGTAAGGAGGGAGCCAATAGGAAGTGCAGTTCAAATTACAAGCTGGACTAGTTTGAAGGGTGATGTGTGCAGGGTTATCACCTGAGCAGCAAGGTACCATGGGAAGGATATGAGCTGCCCTCTGGGATGTTCCTGATAGTGTGAGCAGAGCTGAAGAAGGAGGTGGGAATGGGCTCATTAGCAGAGGCAGGGCAGAGTCCAGAAGAACAGGCGTGCTTGTCACTGCTGATGCAGTTGCTGGATTCTTCAGCCACCCTGGCTGCCTTGTGGAGATTTGATCAAGGGCACTCCCATAGGGTGTGCACCGGGAGGAAGTGGAAGGTGGCATGGTTTTGATCTCTGGAGAGCCCCACCCTCACCTCTTCCCTTTAGAAACAGTTCTGGGTACCCACCTTCCTATTGGGGGCAGTAAGACAGCACACCAAGTCCCTCTCTCCTCTGCCCTGCAGGGGACCCCTGACCACTGTTCTACAGAACATGTTGGGTAGCAATTGCTGGAATTCCATAGCTGAGAAGCTGTACAGTTAGGGTTTGATAACACCACTGTGGACTGCAAAGCCCACTGATACTATTTTCCCATCCTTCGAGTGTATTGACGATATCTTCCCTCTGGGAATTCAGTGGGGCCCTCAGAAGAACAGATATCCTTTGTGGGGGCTGGAGAAGGATGGCCTTCTTCTGCCCTGATCCTCAGCACTTCTGGCCTGCTCAGAGTGTGAGTGGCATTAGGATTGTCCAGTCATGAGGGACAGAGAGACAGGCGAGGGCCATTGGCTGGACACAAGAAGAGATCATGGAAACAGGGAGGCAAATGGCACCCCATCAGTAAAAGAGGGGTGGGGAGTGAGAGAGGTTCTGATGAGCTTCAAATGCTCACAGTGAGTGTGGGAATGAGCGCCTGCAGGGAAACATGGCCAAGAGCAGGAGCTGGCATGCAATCAGGCCTGGAAGAGGAGTTGGAGAGCTTTGAAGAAGAGTTCCTGAAAGATGGCAAATAGATACCACCTCAGATGCCAGACCCATCTTCACTTCTACACAGAGTGTGAGCAGGATTCTGAGCTCATGGAGAAAGAGCTGGGATTGCTGAGTGATGCCTGTCATAGGCTTGGAAGGCCACAGTACTACCACAAACTTTTCTCTACATGTGGAATGGGTTAACTTCTCCCCCCCCCCCGAAGGAAACTCAGAATGAAGAGTAAAGCAGTAAGGACAAATAAACAAATAAACCCAAAAAGCCATCTATATGCCAGGAGTGTGAAATCATCACATAATAACATGTCAAGTAAAATATGCATTTTTGATTTTCCTCTTACTGTTTCCTAAATGGTGGAGTTGGGGAAGACATAGACAAATGGGAAGAGAGTGGGCAAGGGTAGGAGAAACTGCCTGGGCTAGAACAAGAAATCTAATGCAGCTGAGGGCCCCAGGAAGGATAACTGTTTTTTATCCTGGGACAACTCCCTCTGATATTAAGACTCAGGAAGAAAACAACTTACAAGTCTCAGGAAGTTCCTGAAACATAATTGGTTCACAAGTTCCTCCTTCCCCAAGGTTATATAGCATTAAGGGCTGCTGAGGAGAGGAGACACTCCAGCTTGCTGAGCATCCTGGAAGTCATGCAGAAAGCCCCAGGGTTCCAGCTTTTCTGAGTTGTCACACCCTGCTGGGGTGAGCTTTCATCCATGTTCCTGTAAGTAGCACCAATGAATTCATTGGTTCATTAAGTTGGAGTCTGGTGGTATTGTCACTCTGGTCTGTTGTTGGGTCTCTTTCTGGGTGAGTAGATATTTGTTCACATCTTTCCAGGACAGTGTCACATTCTCTGCTCACATACAGGGACCGTCCTGATGATCCAAATATGGGTTTTGTTGGCTTATAGATCTGTTAAGGGAATTTCTCAAGGCCCTGTGCTCATGGATCGACCCTGCAGGATTCCTGGGGCAACATTAATACGGACTTTGAGGTAGATGGTATCCACAAGGATGTGCATCTGCCTTGTGACACCAGTAAGTCAGACAGTATGAAGACCAAGGACATGCGGCAACACAGCAGCCTTAGGGACATTGGCCAAGGCTCAGGATACTAGGCCAGCTCCATGTTCAGTGCCATTATAGCTGAGGCTCATGTGGTGTTTGGGATTCTGGAAAGTACTTCTAGAATCCACCACCAGAATTGCTACAAGGGCAGGGCAAGGAAAGCAGGGAGCTGAATTCAGGGCTTTCTCTTAAAACAGGGCAAGCAAGGGTGCTCTTGAGAAGTCAACCGTAACCTTTGCAGTGTAGTCAAGTTCTGGGTGACATGGGCTCTGGAATCTAAACTGGGGTAAGAAATCACAGATTTTTCTAATGGAGCTCCTCAGATATCCTCTGGTTCTCTGGCTGGATGGTAAGATCACTGGCGGGAACATGGGATGGCTCATTCAGCTCAGAAAAAAACAACCTGGTGGGTCCTCAGAGAGTTAAAGATATGGTTACTGTATGGCCCAGAAAGTCACACCATGGATAAGCATTCAAGGAAAGGAAAGATCCATGCAAAACCTGCACCCGAGTGATCATTAACAGCATTATCCATAATCACCCAAAGGTACAAAGTTCATCTACTGATGAACAAATAATCAAAATGTGCTATATTGCTACAACGGAAAACTAAGCCATGAAAAAGAAGTGAGTTACAAACTCATGTTACAATGTGGATGAATCCTGGAACCATTATGCTCTCTGAAAGAGGACAGGCACCAAAAGTCACATATGTGATTCCACGCCAAGAACAAAGAAACAGTAAGGAGTGTTAGAGGTTACTTAGGAGTAGGTAGGGTGGGAGGAACCAGGAGTGAAAGCCTACTTAGTTTCTTGGGGAGGAATGAAACAGACCTGAAATAGTAAGCTCGATGGCCATACAATTTTATGAAAATAACCGACTGCACACTTTGCTGAACTGTACACTATGTGAGCCAGATTCCAGCAAAGGTGGAGATCTTGAGAAATGTCGATGTTAGCCCTCCTCTAAGCGTAGTCTCCTATCTCTAAATCCTGCAGCTGGCCCAAGAACCACAACCTTTCTCCAACCTGCCGCCAGCTCATTTTGCATATGGGCTCACCATGGGAAAGGGGGTGAGCAGGTCACACAGCCGGAGATCAGCAGTGGAGTTCGGGACATGAGCCAGGCCTCCCACCTTCACCCTGGAGCCCAAAGGACAGCCCATCTGCTGTGCCTCGCCATCTGCTCAGCCTCTACTTAAGGCTGCATTTGTACTTATCAGGAAAACCCCAAGTCCTCTCAGAAGCCGCTAGCTGAGATTCCTCATGTTCTCAACCATCCAGTAAGCTCTGCAGCAACAGAAACCACCATATGTATTTGTGTCCCTGCTGTGCTAGAAGAAGGGCTGAAGCTTAGGAGACCAGAGAAGCTCAGTGCACTGAATAAGTAGTTCAGGGCCAGTTCCTGTGTCTGGCATTGTGCCAGGCAGGACGGTTGACAGGGAAGGGACCTCAGTCCAGCCTGGGCACCATTAGAGGAGACTTCCTGGGGGTAGAGATGCTTGAAGCAAGGGGACCCTGAAGGTTATGAGTGAACAAGAGGGAGGGAGCACTAGGCATTCCAGGTGGAGGATTCTCCAACTGCTAAGGCCTGGTGCCAACACAGTACACTAGGTTTTGGGGTGAGGGCCTGCATAGCTTCCGTGTGTGCTTAAGAACACCTTAAGAGGTGTTTCTCGTCACACCTCCCTTTTGGATTACAGACTCATGGTGATGATGAATGGGAAATTAGCAGACTTTTCTGATACGAAGAACAATCTCCTGAAAGAAACAATCCATTCTCAATTCGGGACCTTGAGGCGCCCTCTTTGTTCCACTGGCCACTGTGCTGGTGACTGCAGGCTCACTGA